ATTTTTAACAGAAGAGACACGTATGGGGAGTTGAGAGAGCGGCAGGTGTCGGAGCTCACTGCCATGCCGAGCTTCCACTGCATGTCCACTAACTAAAAAAAACAACAACGTCTCATTAGCCTTCAATTAGACAAAAGTGTGTTCAGGTCACCAGTAATGTTTTGAAAATGAGATAAGGACATACCTGACCGATGCTAAGCGCTGACTCGACCTCCTGCTGAGCCCGGACTGATGCACCGTGTTCACTCCACAACCTGTGCAACAGCTGAAGGGAAGCTTTGGGCCACTTACTGCTGCCTTCTTCCAGCCTCTTCACAAGGTCGTCCCCAGAGAGGTTACTCTTCCCAGCAGACCTGAAGATACAAAGGCTAACTATCACACTTTACGATAAATGTAAATATTTACGCATGATTTTGCCTTTTGTCTGGCAAATTAACGAAGATGATTGTAAAGCTAGGATACGCAATTAAGAGCCAATGACAAGGCTTGCTCTGATCTAAGGGATATTACTCATCTGTTTGCAACTTATGAAAATAAAAGCCTTGAATCCTTGAATGAATCCTTGGATCCTATTAAAACAATATACTTCAAAAGGGGCAAACAAAAATCAACATGTGGGCCTTTAAAAATAATATAAGTAATACATGATAGCTAGACACACACATTTTAACATTACATTTTAACATGCAAATTCAGAGGCAAAAAATAATAATAATTGGACAAAAGATACCTGAATGTTAACAAGAGAAATCTGATCATGTTCTGCAGAGCCTCATGGTCACATCTGACTCCAGCTCTCTGGAATTCCTGCACAGAAAAGAAAAACAACTTATGAAAGAGGAACTTGGGAAGATGGGTTACTGTAGGTTAAAAAATATGTGAAGTAAACATTGACTCACATCAGACATTTCAGCTGAGTCTACTCCTTTAGTTTGCCCTTGAAGGTAAAACAGAATATGGCGACACTGTGGATAATAGCAGATTGGTTATCAGAAGTGTAGCATGAGCTCCATGACAACCACACCACATCCTGTTCGACTTGTGCAGAGTGGAGCTCCTATTAGCAAAACACACTATATTGTAGTTAGCATCTGATTGTTCACACTGAGAGGTTTGCTCCACTACAACTTGGTTTAATTTATTGTCAATTGAGAAACCCATTCTGTGCCTGAGGTAATCAAACAAATACTAGAGGCCAACATGATGCTGAGTCAATCATTTGTATACAGCCCAATATCACAAATGTGCCTAGGCGGTATTTGTGCGACTACTGGTGCTTCTATTCTAAGCACATTTGTATTTGGTAATAATTTAAGATGATGTTGTATTCTTATTTACCTTTTTGTAGATGTATACTTGTTTGCAAACTGTACAGGGATATAAATAATCAAAGATGCGTCATACTCACTGTTTCCGCCAACAGATCTGGAGAAAGTTTACAGATGCTGTCCACAACTTTGTTGACACCTGAAACACAGGAGCGAAGTAAGTCATTGTCACCTGAGTCTAAATATGTTAATCCTGGTGCCTCTGTCATATCTGCTTATAATCTGCATATAATGATACAATGTCTTTATTTATGATATAACTGTTAAAAATAGTAGTACATATATCCGTTATCATTTTCTTTGACTTGCTTATTACACATCTTTCTTTTCTTAGATGTTTATTATGTAAACAGACAAGAGTGTAAAATATTCAGGACAGGAAAATAGAGTAGACACCAAGGTATAATAAGGTTCAATACATAAGAATAGGAATTGTGATTTTTTAATATAGAAAAATAAAGAAAACATTTACTTTCAACAGCCAAGGCACAAAAGGTTATCATTCATGTCATTAAATATATTCCAATGCCAATGGCTAACATGTATGTAAGCACTTTAAAGAGATGTATTTAACTTAATTATATAAAGTATTTCTCAGATAAATTACAGACAATGTTTCCAGAGACAATATCATGTATTCAGATTATTCTGTTATGCATATATTCCCCATATCACCCTGAACATCAGACTGGTATTTGATTAAAAATCGAAGATGTTTGCAGCGATTCAGTGGTTCTCTTTAACTAGGCTAGTAGGTCAAAAAACCAATGCAAAAAAGTAATCTATTTGTGTGTGCTCCGACCACTTTTAAGCTAACGTATAAACACTTACTGTGCCACAAATATTAACCGTCTGCAGGATGATCTTATAGATATTATGCCATTTCCGAGCTTACTCGTGTGTTTTCAAAACAGATGCAGCTAATGGTATTAATGGGAAGCACGAAATTGTACCGACGACAGTCAACAGATTTGAAGTATAGCAAAAATAACTACCCGTTTTCGGTTAGGGTAAGGTTGGGTCAGGTTATGAATTAAGAAGTGTTTTGGGTTATGGTCCCCTGACGTTAAGGAGAACTCATAATAACATGTTTTACACTTTATACACTCTATGGGTTTACACACCTCCAGCTAGCTACATAGTTAAGCACACGCTAATGACAAAAAACAATACATTGCCTGGGTGATGTACCTCTTCTTCCCCTTTTTAGTCAAACTACAATTTACTGAAAAGATTGTGATGCTACATGAAGTTAAAGACCCACCCTGAGACTCCTCTAATGCTGGCATCTCCTCTCACAGTCAGGTTGCAGGATACACCGTCGTGATAATTTTGCCACTTTAGCGACTTTCTCGCTTGGCAATTTGAGGACCTTAATGTTATTATATTGACAAGGACAGCGAGCTTTTGGCCAGAGAAAACTATTCTCCTTTGAAGAGGATAGAGAATGTTCTTCTTCTTTTCTGTTTCTCAATGGATCAAAATCATCGTAAAATATGTATACCGCCACCTACTGGTGAAGTGTCAGTTCTTCTTCTAGGATTTTACTAAGACAGCAGCGCCATCGTCTGGCGGCTTCTTCTTCTTCTTGAAATAAATATGTATTATTATTTATTGTATTATGTTATATACAAACATAGGCGTCATTTGCGCTGGGGACGCTGCAGACATGTCCCCACCACTTTTTAAAAGTATAACTTATACATTTTCTAGAAAACAGCGTGCACAAAGAAATGTAATAAACAAGAACATTGGTTTAGTGTCAAGATGTGCAATTTGGACATGTTGTTTGGTCTGTTTGCCTGAATTAAATGTTATCTTTTTGTTTAATGTTCTTGTCAGAGGGTACCAGAATGTGTAGTTTACATGTTAAAAGAAAAAAAAAATTGAGATCATTGGCTTCTTGAATAATTTTCCCATGGCCAGACATATAATGATACTATCGTGAGGATAATTAAGACCTTGTATTTTAATGCTGACCAAGTCCTTTCTCTGGTGGACAGTCTGAATAAAGAATATGTGCTGTTGAAAGACTTTTAAACGCTTGAACTTATAAATGCAGGGATTTCTCATTGCCAGGAAAAAAGGGTAGTTTTATTCAGATAGTAACAGAAAGAGAGAAAGGACTTGGTCAGCATGCAAATACAAGGTCTTAATGATCCTCCTCCAAATCCGGCAGCACCAATACCTGGTCTGCCAGATTGAAACATAAAAAGTCCTGTACCTTTGTGTATGTTTATTTCTTAAAGCAGCGCACAGAAATCTTTGTCCCCACTAACAAAAAAAAAGGAATTGTTATTTAAATGTATTGTTATTGCCAAACATCTGTTGATGCAATATTTTTTATATCATTTATTTTTTTAAAGTAATGAATTTAATTAAATCACTTTATTTTATTAGTTTTAGTCAAAATACATGTCCATATTAAATATATGTATTTTTTTTTTTCAAGCTAGTTTTTATGATTGTATTAAATATTATATTATTATTTAATTGTATTTATTTCATTATCATTTTATTTAATTATTTAAATTATTATGTAATTGTTATTTTATTATTTTAAAATTATTATTATAAAGACACGTGCATTTTCAGAGCACAGACTACAAGGCTAACAAGCAAAACAACATTGTGTGAAACATGCACAGACACAGACATTCATAAATATATAAATGTAAGTGATTTTTGTTTAGAAATACATTAAAGATTTATAATGTGTTCCTTTTTTATTCTCAACTCATATATTTATACATTAATTTCTTTATTTCCATATTCATTAACTTGTTCTTGTGTTTATTTATTCCTGTATTCATTTCCACATGTATTTCTTTACTCCTGTATATATACAATTTTTCTTGGGATTATTTATTCCTATATTTATTTCCACATTTATTAAAAAATTCCTGTATGTATTTATTTTTGTGTGTTTATTTATTCCTGTTATTATTTTCACATTTATTTATTTATTCCTGTTTTTATTTAAACATTTGTGTTTTTTCACATTTATTTATTCTTATATTTGTTTTATTCCTGGATTTATGCATTTATTTATTTTTTAGCTTGTGTCATTTTCCTCCATACCTGTGTGCTCGTTGTGTGCAAAAAGGTACAAATTCAATCTAAATCACATCACAGCAAGACCTTTAATTGGGCGTTCATAGTTTTGAAAACTCATTGGTGGTCCAGAGATCTATGCATTGGTTTTTCATGCAGGTGCTTGAGGTACAATAGGCTACTCAAGAGAAGGAAATAATTGTCTTCTGCTATGCTGATGTTAAATCTGGAGAAATTGTCCACACCACTTTGTCTAACAAAGTGACGCCCATGTATACAAACATATTTATATTGCAAAAATACAAAAAAAGAGATGACAATACAGCGACTGTATAAAATAGTGGTCCACAGCCCCAACCGCTGGGAATCTCAATCACGCCCATGATCCTGGAATGGTCCACTGTTGGGTGGAGGGTGTGAGTAGTACATTCATCTATCCTTCATTTAGCCGATTAAGAAACATGACACGACTACCTAGGCTGGAAACATATTACAATTCACAAATCAATATATGTTACTCATTTGATCTTGTCGGAAAGTACCGGGTATGGTATATTTGTTGTTTATAAAAAAGTGTGTACCCCTGCGCATTACGTGAATGCCAAGTTCCATTTCCCTGACTCGGAAGCTATTTCCAGCTGTCAGACACATTTTGGTAAATCAGTTTCAGCTAGCTCTCAGTTGAAAGGAAAATAAAAGTTAACATCACTTCGAAATGGACAGTCCACGATGGTTGCCTTTGGAGTCAAATCCAGAAGTATGTGTTGCTGTTATTTCTTCAAAATGGTGATTTGTCGTAGTCATTCATTCACAAGCATGTGAGGGCTAGCTAACTTGTGGCTAACCCTTAGAACAAAAGCTGGAGCCGGTGTGGCTTCTTTGTTAATTACAAAATAAGTATTATTAACATTTGTATATGTCTCTTTTTATTTCAGGTCATGACAAAGGTGAGTATTTCCTTCTGATTTAATTTAACACCCCAATAATCAGCTGCAACGTGACTTTAGAGGAACAAGGCCTGACGTTACTCATCAACAATGCTACTGTTTTATACGTGATGCTCTCAGTGAAGCGTAGAAGTAAAACATGCTGCCTTTTAAAAGTTATGTTAGAAAACAGACTGCGAAGAATATGACAAAAGCTTTAACTGATTGCTAGTAGCATGCTGCAATTGCACCCTAAACTAAAGAGAATATATTTTACGTTATCTTACGTGTTTTTCTCGAGCTTCATACACATAAACTGGTTAGTTACACTTCCTGCAGCTGTCTATGGCAATGTAGGCCTTACACCTACAGTAAATATGTTCCTACTTAGTAAGTAAAGTTATTGATATTGTCCTATGTTAATAACCAAACTAACTGCTGTCTATATTTAACAATGACAAGATGTTGAGTGCATCAGTCTATCAGCTGTACATGAGAAAATAGAAAAGCATCAAATAGTACATATCACATTTAAAGTTTCTAATAAAATATCTGTAATTAATCGATATAGTTTAATATAACTTTTCAATCGAGGTACCAAAGTGCATTACTTACTTAGAAGTCCCTGTACGTTAAATATGTTTAGTAAGCTGGTACAAAGCACATATTTATAAGAAAGTATTGACTATTTTTTGTTGTATCTTGTCAATCATGTGTATTCTAGACTTGTGAGATCTAGGTCATTATCAGTTGGTAATAAGGAGCCAGCTATTACATACAACTTACATTTTGAGTTGGAAGTTTGTTGTGAGACTTTGTAAGGTTACTTGTAATGTCTTTGTACTTTATGCATACACATTTACTCTCAGCATTTGTTCAGTTTGTCAATTGCTTAGGTATGAGACCAACCTGGCAATTTGGAGATGTTTACGGATTGGATCCAGAGCTTCTCAGCATGGTGCCACGACCAGTGTGCGCGGTGCTGCTTCTCTTCCCAGTGACAGAGAAGGTACTTGTACTGTCAAGTGTATTAACTGTGTGTTCATTACATGTTGTAGAGACTCATTTCCATGCTATTCAAAAACAATTCTCAACTGATATTTCTCCTCTCTCCTTCTTCTGTCCAGTATGAGGCTTTCAAGCATGAAGAGGAAGAGAAACTCAAGGGTCAGCCACAGGACGTGTCCCCTGACGTCTACTTCATGAAGCAGACTATTGGAAACGCCTGTGGAACAATAGGATTAATTCATGCAGTGGCAAACAACCAAAAACACCTGGAGTTTGGTGAGTATTTCTTCTGTTCTCGTCATATCCAATGGTAGAGGGTGTCAAATATTTCCATATTTACAATTTGAAAGCATCAACTCAATACGGTTGAATGATTGTAGAGTTGATTGTGTGCGAGTTAAAAATGACTGTGAATTGACAGGAATGATTTTCCCCAGAATATGTAGTTGCTCATCATACTTGATAGGGGGTCTTGTGGTCCGTTCCCAAGAATATAGAAAAAATAGAAGCCGTAGAAAGCCCTAGAAAACCTTAGAATAGTTGGGAAAGCCCTGAAATATAACTTTTTTTTTTCTTAAATTAATCTTTTGGGGTTGTAATATCAGTGTTGAAAATTACCCAGTTCAAATCCTAAAACATTTCTGCCTGCAGACAGTTTTTTTTATAGATTTGACTTCATGTTGTCCTCTCTCCTCAGAGCCTGATTCTCCTCTTATGAAGTTTATCGTACAAACCTCTAAAATGGCCTCAGAGGAAAAGGCTGCCTTCCTGGAAAAAGACGAGGTAAGAAAAAACTGAAAATCTTTGCTTAATTATGTTGTGATTAAAGGTAGGGTAGGTCATTAACTTCAGAAACACTTTTTGTTATATTCCATGGAATGCTCTTAACATCCCGATAGCAATGAATACATTAAAAAAATGTCATCTGTGGAAGCCGTGGCGCTGTAAAAAGCACGACCAATCATCTGAGCCGGCCCGGCTAAAATAACTGGATGGCCTACCTGCCTGTCAGCCTTCTATCTGTGCACAAACTTATCTCGTGCCCTCGTTGGTCATGTGCACGTTCGTGTGTGTTGGAGGAGGGGCTCTGTAAGGAAGTCTGAAGGAAGGGACAGATTCTTCCCTCCTTTAAGCAATCAGTTAAGATTTTAGTTTTTTTGTCGACTTTTTTTTTTACAAAAGAAGAACCACAATTATGCTCTTATTAAATATTTCCCCATTATTTTTTAGTTAATCACAGGATGAATAAAAACAGTTTCGACCTCAAACAATTATCAATGTCACAGCAACTTATACAGTACCTTTTTATAGAAAATCCTCATTTTGAGTCCTAACAACATGGACACTCTTTGTAACAATTTTCCTGGTAACTGTAGCATTCTACATTGTATGTAACTGCTCTCTATCTGTCACTTGTAACATAATAATACTGGCCTTGTGTACATGAACATTTAGATTATCCTAAACATGTAGGTACAATTACCATGAAGTACAAAACAAACTGCAAATCATTGGCTTTATCCCTACTTTGTTTCAGAGTATACGTGTGACACATGAATCCAGTGCGCAGGAGGGACAGACTGAGGTTTGTATTGCGTTTTAAATGTTCTGTGTATGCTTCTGGCACAAATACCACCAATTGTTCTGTCTTTCATCTCAAAGAATGTGTAACTTAAACATACTCTGTTTTTATTTTGTTGTCTGCTTTAGGCCCCAAGTGTAGATGAGAAAGTGAATCTGCATTTTATAGCTTTTGTGAATGTTGGGGGACAGTTATATGAACTGGGTGAGTTACCAACTGAAGTGTGCTTGTACGTCCAAAATATTGCATTGCATTTGTGTCATTGTAGATAGTAATGACTTTATATACACATTTCAGGCAAACTTCCTGGTAAACTGTTTTCTTTTTTAACCTAGATGGCCGCAAGCCTTTCCCTATTGTCCACGGCAAAACGTCCGAAGGCACTTTACTCGAGGTAAGACCCCACAGAATAAAACAGACGATTGCTATAAAAAACATTTCTGAAGTTGAGTTCTAAGTCATCATTTCCTGATGTGTTCAATTGCACCGCAGGATGCTGTAGAGGTTTGTAAGGTCTTCATGGCTCGCGACCCTCAGGAGGTTCGTTTCACCATCATTGCCCTCTCCAAAGATTCATATTGAGGAAACTCCTTTGTGATCCCAGAGAAAGAAGAAAATATGACTGCCAAACATTCTCAAGTGCTCGCTCAATTGGAGAGTTAGATTTTTCTTTCATTATTTTTCATTTTTGTGGCAAAGGTAAGAAAAAGGTCAGGGATATCATTTAAACTAATAACATCTTTTATGCATCACTTGTTAAGGAAATCAGAGTGCTCCTGTGAAAACAAAAGTATTTCTTGTTGAGATCAAACTCTTCCAGATCCACACTGCTGAAACATTGTGAGAGCTGTAATACAGATATCAACTGTACTACCCTGACACTGCACTACATTTTGTTTACATGGCGTCTTTGACTTTCAATTAAGAAAGATATATTTCACAAGATTTCCACATGTGAGGGAGCACAACTTAACTTTTTTACCCTGGGTTCAATGGTTCATCCTGTATGGAATGATTTGTTTAAGATGATGTGTCTAACACATGGTCAAAACCGGCTGCAGAAATATGTTTGGCAAGGCTTTAATTTCAGTCATAGCTTTCAAAAAAGATAGGCCTATTACAGTAATGTTATAAAAAGCAGAAAAATATAAGTCTTCTGGAAGAAAGGCTGAAATATGAAATTTGACTGTACATTAGTGGGGAAGGTGCCCACATTTTTGTAATATGAATTACAAATTCTGTCAAATAAAAGGCAAATTTACTACACATTTCTCTTGTTGAATCTTTTCTGTAGCACAAACATGTTAGAAAGTTAATTTATGTATCTGTTTATCATTGTATGATTTAGTATTTGATGGGTTTATTGTCAAATGTAAATAACTTGATTAGGCCTGCTGAAAATATGTATCTTTTTTTATTAGCACACTACAATAGGAAAATAAAATATTAAAAATGTTATCAGGCCTCTACACTGAAAATACAAAAGCTATTTCTTTGAATCCAAAGTAACCTCTACTTACAAAGTAGTCACTCTACTACTGAATTAATTTTATGGAAAATAGTCAAAATACTCCATTACAATTCTTAAACTTAAAAAATCATCAAAGTACTCATTCTGTTATATGAATATATTTTTGATTAACATGGATTTTAATGTCACTGGTCAAGATTGATCATATTTTAAAAACTTTATATTGTTGGGTATTTTAATCTATGACACTGCATTTTTATGTGGTAATGTAAGATGATCATAGTATTGTATGTGATTTATTTTATATGTAAAGTAACTATAGCTGTCAAAGAAACCTGCAAGTTATAAGTTCCACTCGTGTTCAAAATACGTTAATATACCTTGCTAATATTACTTGCACCAAGTCAGTGCTGATTTCCTGCCCTGCATTTCACCATGATGGCCGCTGGGGGGCGCTGCAGGAAAAGGATTTGCAGATCTCCCGCAAGTGGAAAAGTTTACTCAAACTTTTAACTTTTGCTTTAACATTTGATACTAAGCAGCCCAACAACTTCGAATGGACACGGCTTTTACTTATCAAGCTGTAATATGAGAATATATTGTAGCTGGATATGAAGTGGTGTAGAGTTACAATATATTTACAGTAGTGGAAACCTGGGATCAAAACAACCTCCGAGGGAGAGGGAAATATCAGCCAATTTGTGTTCACCTGGAACTTGAAGCCTCTCAAAGGACCCGTGGGTGGTCCTCAGACCTCACTTTGGAAACCCTCCTGCCTCAGCCTCATGCAGTTTGAACTCCATGAGAAGATTACATCTCCTGTCTATGAGGAGAGCCAGGGTTGGATTGTAAGGGAGGCTTGGTCGCTGAAAAGGTGGAGTAAATAGTGTGTGAAAATACCAAAACAAGCTATCCACAGGTGTGTCGGATGAAAGAACAGGTAAGCAGGCTGATGCTAAGGGAGTGTGTCACTGTTACACCTTGCATTCATAAAGTAATAACCTGCTGGAAATGAACAAAAGGAGGCATATTTAATGACTGAGTAGTTTGATTTTCAAGTTTATCTGTGATGCTCTACATTCCTTGCATAGTTTAGAGTGCCTTCATTGTGTCTGCTTTGTTTGGACCGGCCCACATTTGATGTCACTGGACCTTAAATGCGGACATCTACACACACAGATTTGTCCCTTCGGTGAAGCTCGGATAATACGGATTTGTGATGGAGTGGCGCGAGCAGTCCGAGGTCAGCTGCGACGAGGCGTACTTGGAGGCACAGAGATGGATTGAGGTGAGTCAAAAACATTACAAGAAACATTTTTCTTTAAAACTACTGACAGGACGTAAGCAATAATCAAAGATAAAGGTTACATCGAATTGGTAAATGCTTGTGATCACCATATGGCAAAACAGGAAAGTGTTATTTTGTGTGATTTCTTTTTCCTCATTCAGCTAATATAAACCTGGCAAAAGACTATAAAGTTGAAAACCTTTTAAAACACTTCTCATCACAGTCAATGACAGGAGGTAAGCAATAACCATAGCCAAGGTTAAATCTAATTGCTAAATGCTTGTGATCACAGAAAAGTGGTATTTTTGTGTGATTACTTTTTCCTCACTGTAAGACCAACAAAAGACTATAAAGTTGTAAACCTTTTACAAAACACTTTTATTCAGAGGCACTGACTGGGTAAGCACTAATCATAGAGAAGGTTACATCTAATTAGTAAAAGCTATATGGCAAAACTGGAAAGTGGTATTTTTGTGTGAATTATTTCTTATATTAGCTACTATAAAACTGACATGAGCCTAATTAAATATAAATAATATATAATTATAATAACAATAATATATATATAATAATTATAATAATAATTATTATAATAATAATTATTATAATTATAATTATCATCAATTGACATCAATGGACATGGAATGTAGCCTAAATTGTAGAATGACTCCATTAAAGGTGTAAAGCTGAGGGTTTTGTCTAATACATTCTTGATTTATGTTGTTTTGGTGTAATCTAGTGGCTTACCCCTAAGTCTCAGATATTAAACTGGACCAACAGATTAATAATGTTACACCCCTGGTTATAGTCTCAAGTAACTGATGATCAAGTCTATTGTTCCTGTCTTTGGGAATAATGTAGCTGTACTTTCCTCCAAACATTAGTTATTCCCTTTATCTTATCTGTCTGTCTCTTGAGAATACAGGTATGGATTTGAATGTATTCATCATTGTTGTTTACTCGCTGCTTGTCCTGCTGTTTTTCTTAGATGTTCCCAGGGTTTCTTTGAGGCTACAGTTCTGAAACATGTCGTGGGAAAATTGGCAGAACAATTAAGAAAAGAGGATCTGTGATTGATCACTAAATCTCAGCTATTTTACCACACCTCCTTTAAGCACAGTTCAAGCCTGGATAATAACCTGAAGTAGGGCAAGATATTCCACCTTTTTAATGACACGCTATTTATAAGTAATATTCTTAGCCTATGCTGTATATTATTGGAAATTGCTATTACAAGTACTGATGATTCAAAAACAAAAAAAGCAGTCACACAGTTTGTCTCTTGTGATAAATATATGAAAATGTATGGAAAAATGCATAAAATATAGAATAAAGGTTTTAAAAGATGTTCCTCATAATATACCGTTTTTTTAAATTGCAAAACAGCTACCAACTAAAAATAACTATCCACCAGCACTATCAAAAACAGTCTCTTTTAATTTCCAAAATGTCAACTTATTTAAAGTTTCCATTCAACCTTCAGCCAGACTCTCGTTCTTTCTTTTTGTTTTTACAAGCGAGTTTAATTATGTTTCCTCATCTCGCAAATTCTCTTCTCAGCAGGGTGGCTTGGAGCTGCTGCACGGTTTTAACTAAACAAATATTGTTCTAATTTCATGAAGGGGTGAATCTAAATTCTTCTGATGTGACATCAGTATCTCTCACACTTGCACACTGGCCCATTGTTGTGGCTTACCTCGTGCAGGGCGGTGGGCGGGGGGGCATGATATCAGGCAGGGACAGGAAGATTAGGGTTAGGGTTAGCGGGAAGCTGAACGAGTTGAATAGGTAAAGGTGCAGCACAGAAATGATATTCTTCTGGGGTACAGGCCATGGGACGAGTATACTAACAGTATAGGTATGTGAGGTTTTGGCGGGGACCAAGTTATTTTACGGGGCGAGCACTTTCCCCTCAAAGACAACGTTTTGTGGGTATTGGAATCTGCCTCTGAATGATTAACAAGCTGCTTGGCTTCATAGCACTTTAAACAGAGGCATGTGTGCGTGGCGAGGTTGGTGGTATTGTTAAAAACTAGACTAAATGGTCTGGAGCTTGTCACATGGACACATTCCTGCATTAGCTGCCATGGCTGTGAGCATAGCACCCTCAGAGCTGGCCAGCTGTCAGCACAGGGCAGCGAGCACTACAACCACAGAGCCCGCTAGAATAATGGAGACCCTTGTTAATTGAATAGAAAGGCAGTAAGTGTGACTGTCGTGACAATCAAGAACAAGAGTTTATGCAACCTACAGGTCGAAAGATCATGAGTACTGTATGACCTACTGTACACACAGACACAGTATCTTATTAATTTAATCAGAGCTCAGTTTTAGTGCTTTTCATGGTTCCCTGATGGTGTTTAAGCATGTTGAGTTTCTTTTTTTAATAAATCACTAAGGTACTGCAACAGTGTGAAGCCCATTATGCCGGTTTTCCTTTGTTTAGATTGCTACGGCCAAGAATTTATTTCCTCAAAGCCACTTTGAAAGGTGTGGCTGGTTGAAAAGGCTGTATTGTGTTTCGTACATCCTCTAGAATAAAAGCAGCAAATCAAAGGTAACACAATCCTGTGGATTTCTTGAGGTGTGTTACTTATCCGGTTGAAGTCTTGTAACACTGAAACTATTTCAAGCTTCCTTGTGGTTTTGATATATGTTGAATTCAGGACTTCAATCAAGAGTTAGTTTAATTATCAATCAATTTGCTGATTATTTTCTCAGTATTTATTCATTGTTTTTGGCCACAAATAGTTGAAAATGCCCATTCAAAGAACTCAGAGCTCATGGTGTTTATTTTCTCTCATCAATGATCCAAAACTCAATAATATAGTCAATTTGCAATAAAATGAAAGAGAGGAATTTGGCAAACCTCCATGTTTGATAAACTGGAACCAGTCAAATGTTCCATCTTAATTGAATTGTTTTTCATTTGTTTTTCCAGCTCATCCATCCACTATTTTATTGTGGTCCAGCTGCCAACACATGCCTTCCATGACCTGTGTTGCTGTGTTGTCTTCCATACCAGATCATTAGTCATCTCACTGTAGCGCCATTTTGGGTTTTTATCTATATTGATTGCGAGCAATTAGTAACTGGGTCACATGCATTCAGATGCACTCATGTGAAGCAGGACCTCACACAAGAAGCCATTCATTTGCTGTTGCATGTTAATATAGGTCCATTATTCAGATATGTTGATGGTGTTGATATTGATGGCTTCTACATCGGTATATTTTTGTCTGATTGGTGAAATAATTGGAAAACTTGCCAATTGTCCTCTGATGGCACATGTCCCTGTCCTTTGTATAAGAATTGTCGGAACAATTAGTGGAGCAGGAGGGGGGTGGGCTGCATCCACACAAACCTTGAATACTGATTTGCTTCAATGCCCGGCATGAATAAACAATAGCTGTGGTCACGGACCCAGAGACTCCTCAATCCCTCTGATTATTTGGGTTTTACTGCAGTCAAAAGACACATTGTATTTCACACATGTGTCTAAACACTTTTAAGAGCCCGTTTTGCATTCCGAGGGTCACATTTCTGTGTTTTAACATCAGGAATAAAAGTCGTTACAAGGCTCAGTTCTTCAACACATTCAGCAGCACATTCTTGAGGGTGGGTTTGTAGGAGGGCAAGCTGTTTTTGAAATCTCTCCTCCTGCCTTAAATCTCCCCTGTTAAATCAGAGCAGCAGTATGTTGTTGCAGATTAGAGTAGTTATCCAACAGGAGAGAGAGGGCACAGCAGGCTGGATCTGAAGTGAGTTAATACCTCTAATGATGACAATAGAGGAGGAAAATATTCTGTTACAGCCAGCTTAGTGCAAGCTTCAATAGGGTTGGGTCCCACCTTCTACACAAGGATTAGGAGATAATATCTTAATTATCATGTTTATTATGTTCCTTTTTCTTATCAAACACCTCAATGCACCACTGAAAGAGTGCATCTAAATGATTGTGGTGTTTCCACCTGTATGGTTTGTTTGCATACTTGAATTCCAGCTGATGGCCCAGCATACATAGAACAGCAGGGGTCAGGATTTCATATGCCAACTGCGGAGCATGACTGATTATACACTGTACTGTGAAGTTTGTTCCCTCTGCGTGATAATGTGTGTGGGGGCTGCTTTGCATTTCTGCCAGTGTGTTACTGTTTAGTGTTGTCAGTGTCTAGTTATCATTGTATTTTTGTCAATGGATGATAAGTAGGCCAAGATCTCTGTATGTGTTCTCAACAAGACTCCTAGCAATGGCTTCGTCACATACAGAAAGACTTCAGAATGAAACTATTGTAATTCATCTATTACAGCATGGTCTCCTTTTCTTTTTAATGGAAGGTTCTGGAAGGTTACCCAGGGTGTGGTCTTAGGTGTAACACAAGTATTTTATGAAAATAATAACAGTGTCCTCCAGGCAGTCTTTCTAATTGCTCCGGTGTCTCCTGTCTTCAACGAAATAATGGCTTGTACTGAGCCATGCCAGTAATTGTCCCAGCTTTTGTCCCTCTCTCTTAAAAGAAAAAGAAACAACCGACCAATTTGGTTAGTAAGACCAGTTGGACTTGTTTTTGCCTTGTGCGTGAGTGTGTGTGGTGTTTGTTTGGTGTGTGTGCACTTTGGTTTATGGCAGGTGTCTCACTTATCTCACTGTATGTTTACAGTGGATTATGTGTGCTCATCTGCCCTTTTGGAGAAAGTCAACTAATTAAATTACATGCAGACTTAAAATCAAACGCATTGCAGTAAGTAAGGTCAGTGTTTTCATATTTCATAACATACTCTCAGTTTCCAGTTTATTAGGTTCATTTAGATACAATTATTGCTGTCTAAAGCAACAGTCCTGCAACAAATCCTATCTTTACGAAGGTTATAATATTCAAGCTTTTTTTATTCAACTTTGTGAGGAAGTAGTGTGTGGTGATGTACGACATTGTAATGAATTGCAATTTAAAAGCAAGACAAGCTTCAGCTTCCAATAATTGTATTTTTGTTCATTTATTCACACATCTTCCCCACAGAAACATTCCCAGTTTGTTTATTTGACTAGCAGAATATATAAATAAACTAGTGTTAGTGAAATATGTTAGAAAGTAAGGCCATGGGCCAAATAACATTTGATTAGTGTTTGGTATAGGAACAGATCCAAGATGGTGCCAGAGCATTTTTGCTTTTTTTTCTCACAATGAATCCAAGTAGGATTGCAAAAAGCTATTCACTTTTTCTAAAATAATAAATATCCATGATTGTGCAGAATTGCTGGAAGTAAACATTCTAATGTTTTCTGAAGTAATGGTTTTGGTTGGATTGAGTGGCTTTAAGATGTTGATGATGGAAACATTCCAACAAAAACAGAACAGGAAGCTCTTTAAGGAGTGGCCATTATGAATTTGATATCCTACAACAGAGATGACGTTTCACACCAAAACTTAGAAAACAATAGTTATATTGCCTTTAGGAGAATATAGATATGCTGATATTCAAGGCAAAAATGTGTAGTACAAAACAAATACTGCAATAACAGTATGTGTTTAAGTGAGGCTGGACGTCATGCATGCATAATGACTCTTGGTGTTCCCACAATGGTGGTTTGAGATCATGGGAAAGGCATGAGGCTCTAACACAGCGCTGTGTTCCTCCAGCGCTCCAGATGCTCCCAGAGCCTTGCGGCTTGGGCAGCCTGGCTCCAGCTCAGTTTTAGCACAGCCCTCCCGTTTACCAGCAGCTTTTAACATTAAAGTGAGAAGAACAGAGCCACTGGAGAGCCCAGAGGAATACCTGCACAACTGTACTCAACTCTGTCCCAGAGACACTGTAGGAACTCTGGAGGAAATACCTCTGACTTCCTCTGCTACTGTTCTCAACATCCTACCTTTCTTCTCCAACCTCCCCACCCCACCCCACACACACACACACACACACACACACACACACACACACACACACACACACACACACACACACACACACACACACACACACACACCCCCGCCTCCTCTCCTCACCCAGCCCTTCTTGCTATTTTGCTCACTGTTTTTGTATCCATTTTTCCAGGCAGTAACCAAGAAAACACTTGGGAGCGACGACTTCCGATCAGCGTTGGAGAATGGAGTTCTGCTGTGTGAGTAAGTACACTACTTTTCCCAGGCACCTCTCTTAAGCCACTCATTCAGATGGAAGCCTTCTGCTCCCCTCCAGGTCTGCACTCCAACATAAGTGTTACTGATATTTCCCAGGCGGACCCCCTGCAGGGTCACTGTTTGTTTGTCAGCCACATAAAGTGAGCCAGTGTTTCCAGACAGCACAATAGAGGATGCATTGTGGAGTTATTTCAATGTTTCCAGTGTTAGATCCGCCCTCTGTGGTTTTATTTGGGGATGTGAATTGTGATCTATTTCAGGAAGTTGTGTCGCCCGTCTGACAGATGTTACAGATCTGTGGACGGGCAGAGTGCCATCCTTTACTTTAATAAGAGCTATGAGAAGCGGTGTAGAGAACGGAAAGCCTCCAGCTGAAACCACATCGGAAAGCAAGGGCACCCTGCTTTCTCATTAGTCAGATGCATCAAGAGTTTTGACGAGTTGAGGAACAAATATATCTCCACAGAATTAGCTTTTGCATTGATTCATCAACTGCTCTTCTAAGATGTGCATTGACTTGTGGAGATGTGGCTTCTCTCAGATCAGGGATGTGTTAGTCTGTGTGTGTTAGGGTTTACATCATGTCCCTTTTCACATGTGTATGTGAGCAGCATGGACACAGTGATGTGATGTGCACGAATCAGCAAGAAGCTGTAATTACCAGCAGCCCATGCAGAATCTTCCAAACCTCTATTGGCATCGTTTCAAAGAAGAAGCCCCTCGTTCTGCTGATTTGAGCCTGACTCCACTGTTTGCTCACTCTCAGGGAACAACAGAGACACTTTCATTCTGGGAGCTGTCCATGTTTTCTCAGCGTGAGGAAGAGGAAGACAAGAAGCTCAGCCTCCATTCCCATTGTTTTCTGGTTATCACAACTGCTTGGAAGGGAATGTTCGGTGTGGGTCTCACACATGATTACATCCTACTTAGATTACAATGTGTGTTATCTGATCAAATAGTACAGCTTTCTATTGTTTCACTGCTAAATGACTGACTTTAAAACAAATTCCTTTAGCATTCTTTCTCTACATCTTTTGTCCACCTAATCAAAGTACTACCCCCAGTGCTGAGAGAGCCGAGGAAGCACCTGCAAAGAATATCCACATTCACAAGTTTTTACTTTCTTCCATTAAACAAAAGGGCGATATTTGCACTTTTTAACATGCAGATTAAGATTTTACATGTGACTTTTTCAAGATTAAACTACAACAGTGTATGAATGAGTTTGTATTATCTTGACCAATTACGTCATTAAATGTTGTTTACTTGTTGTAATCTAGGATAACAATAAAATAAAACTCAGCAAAGAGCCCTTCTGCATATGAGCGCATACATTTTGAGGATTAGAATTTCACGGATAAATTTGTTGATTGATCCATAATTTTATCAACATCTCAAGCAAAAATTGCAAACTTTGCATAATTTCAGTTTCTCAAGTGGAAGATTTCCCTGCTTTTTCTTGTCTTACTTAAAGTAATTAGAATATCTTTAGGATTGGACAGGCCTTTTTGACTTTTCTGGTGTTGTGTGTAGAATTATGTTTTTTTGGGTATCATTTAGATTTAAGAAACCCTTTCCAAACCCTTTGAGTAACACCAAATATGCATGTATCAAAAGAACCATTTCAATTTTTTTCTGAGCTGTACGTGGTGGTTGCTGGTTTGTTTGGGGTTGTCCCAGTAGGAGAGGGTATGTTTACAGCGCAATGGACCCATGTTGTGTTTACACCACGGTGCAGCACTGGTCATTTATTAAACTAAAGCCAGGTGGCCCCCATCAAACAAAGTTGTAAACACACAACACAGAGACTTTGCAACACTTTTTTGTTCATTCCTTGTTATTTAAACTAGCCCAGCCAATGACCAAGTCCTTTCACTTACCCTCTTCCTTTGCCTCTTGTCTCTTTCTTCTGCTCGCAGTTTGATCAACAACATCAAGCCTGGAATCATCAAGAGAGTTAACAGGCTGCCTACACCTATAGCTGGACTGGTAAGTCTTTCTATTCATCTTAAATGTCACGCATGAACATTTTAAAATATATCTTAACTCATAGCCTCACCAGCTCATTCTAGTTTTGTTTCAACAAGGTAACGGCTCCTGTTATTATTGTTGTAGCAACTAACGTCTTTTGTAGAGAGTATATTCTGAGATGTAAAGACACAGTGTGAGGTGAAGCGGCAGCAGTTAAGCTGGTGACAGGTCTGAAGCACGGCTGCCAGTGAGAGGGAGGTGTTTGCCTCAGTGACTTGTCGCTCCTCATATCCATCCACACTAATAAGTTCAGTGAAAGTGGAGATGCTTGAAAGGCCACTTGCCGCATATGACTGCACCCTAAATATGATGTCTGCCATGCTTGAGGCTGCTTTCAGTCAAAGCCCTTTAAGACAAAAAGTCTTTGTGCCGGTATGATAATTAGGTTTTTGATTGAGTGACGCGAGATCAGAAGGGGGCAGAGTTTGGTTACATAATAACCCGTTATTGAATCAGTGTTGCTCAATCTTTTCACCTTTTTAGACCTGGCAATGTCTTTAAATTGTGGCACAGGCCGTTTTGGAGACAGTGGCTCAGTTGATATAAATGTTTTGGGAGTGTCTGACTACAAGTACTCGGGAAGTAGAGGGTTGAAAACCCTACCTTAAACCCATCCCTCACAAAGCTCTCTCTTGTGGGAGTAATTGAATCCAGCTGTCTGGGGGAATTATAGAGAACCCCAAGCTTAACCATCCAGTCTGAGTGTACGTCGGTGGGCTAGGTCACTTTTAACATGTTTGGCAAGACAATGACAAGTTTGCGGTAGAAGAAACAGACTAGTATTCATGCTGTATATGTAAACAGTAAACATGGTTTTTGTAGTACCAAACACTTTACCATCATATCTACTGTATGTTGTGACATAAATCAAATTGCTAGTTTGTTTTGGACAGTTAGTAGAACAACTGGCTGGGCACCTGCTGAGGTAATTGAGCTATGGTATCTCCTCCATCAGTAGCACTGGTTTGGTATTTCCGATACTTGGGCACCAACCTCAAACCACCTGATAATAAATTCCCCAGAAAACGTGAAAGTTCCTGGTTGGTCTGCGGCTATCAGTTACTGCCAACCACAAAAGTGGAGAGCTCTCCAAACAAACATTGCTCACTCTCACTCTGCTGTGAGAGTGTCTTTTCTCCCAAAGCAGTCAAGTAGTGTTGCTAAGAATGTGCTGTATCTCTCCTCTCTTTAAATAGAAAACGTGTCTGTTCTTTAAGTGTTAGAAATAAGGGTTTGGAAAGTAAAATCATTTAAGCATTACATCCTTATGCTTAGACACCTGTTTCCACATACAGTAGTGAGGATGTTTGCACTGGGTTTGTCTTCATGTATGCTATTGTCAGAAAATAAGAAACTGGAAAATGCAGTTTTCCGGTATGTTAACCTTGCAATTGGAATGTGTAACAAAGTTACAGTAAACAAAGAACAAGAGTAATGTTGACGCCTTTTTATTTGAGATGAAGATAAACAGTTGAACTTTAATGACCGCTGAATGCAAGGGTCTTTGCGACTCACATGCATCATTAGCGCTCAAATCTAAATATTTTCTACCATTATGGTCATAATTATCGTTTTAGTTTGCTATCCGAAAGATTTCAGCTCTGAAATGGATACCAGGCTTCAGCTCTGGCAGAGTAAAAAGCCCAGGGAGGGAAAAGGGGAACAAACGGAAATATATGGTTTTGTGGAATATTTAGCAAACATTGACTCCAGACCGGGCCTATTCTTTGGCTTCACTTGTGTCCACGGGAATGTTTCCCATGTCAGCACACTTCTCTGCCTGTTGCTGAGCACTCAGCTGTGGGTTGGATGGCACCTACTGGTTCGGGGCCGGTTCTGCTTTTACTAGTGCTGGGCAGGAAGCCCACAATTGTGGTGAGGCAGCCAGCTACGTGAGTGGATTTGAAGCCCATTGGGCTGAATCCAGAGGGACAAAGTTAAAGATGACTGCATCGGCCTCTGCCCACCGTAAACACACTGTAATTGACATGATGCTGGATGTTCCCGCATACACCAACTCCTTGGCGGGTTGAGGGAGCAGTGGGAGGAGACAGACAGTTTCAATGGTCCTGAGGGTGTCTTTACTCATCTAAATATCTGTTTAATTATCCGTGCAATGACAGGCATTTGACCATGTTTTGTTACTGTGTTTGTGTTGTATGGCTGCATGTTATGACTGGTTCTGTCTGTTGAGAAAGGAGGGTCTTTTATTTGGTCTGTTTCACGAGAGCCAACATTTCAAGTATTTAATCTCCTCTTGGTTTATTGTCACAGGACTTGAAAATGTGTAGCCTGATATTTTAACCATAGCTTTGCTTGGTGTTTGAAGCACTGCCAAGGGTCAGTGGAGGGTAATTGTAGAGCATGCCCATTTTAGACAAAGAATGCAGTGAAAGAATAGAGTGACCACAATGTGACCAGTATGGACGGAGACCCTTTTATACCAAATTAGACACCTTATGAGTCAAATATTTCCCTCTCTCAGTGTGAATACTGAGTCCTCGGGTCTGAGAGGATTAGAGGCTGCTGGATGGGTACAGCATATTTAGCAGGATTATGCGCAGGCACAAGTCAGCATAACATTCTTTCAACATCATTATCTCTGCATGTTCTGGGGCTGGTTGTAGGGCGGCTTTTACTGTGTTCATAATGCTCTTTGAGGTGAAATGACATTTACCAAAGTCATATTAATTTTCCTTTCCTGGAAACCTTTAATACATTGGCCTAAGTTAAGAGTATGTCTATTCGTTCACAAGGAGAAGACCAGGGCATAAAGTAAAACAATTTTAACTGTAACATTTAGATTTGTATTTACATTGATGCAAATAGGCTCTGTTGCCTTCAATGGCCTGCATGCTTTCAGAGAATATTATGTAGAGCTAGACAGATACATGTATATAAGATATTGCACGTTATTTGCTTTATTCAATTATGTTGGTCGATAAGTAACAAGATTACTGTACGCAAATATCAACGATTATTATCAGTTGCATAGTTTGTCCATCAGAGAACTTTCCCTATCTCTTACGCGAATTGTAACACATTGTTTTCAAGTTAAACTATTTAAAAAAAAATAGCAATATCCCCCTAGAAACCCCCGTCAGTCGGGTTATAATCATATTTAATGTATCTAGTTGATTATTACATGTGATGCCCTTAGTGCAGTCTTGTGAGCTAACATGCTGAGGTGATGCAAGGTATACTTAGTTTTTTCTGACTGCTCATGTGCTAATCATTGAAAAACAAGGTCATAAATGATGTGTCACTTAGAAATGTACATCTGAACTACAGTATGTCTCACGGACGAGAGATGAGGAACAGGAAAAGATCTTCAAAAGGTATTCTGTTGCAATCTGGAAAATTGCATTAGCGTGACTATTAAGATGAAGAAAACATCTCTTCTGTGTTATAATGAATAAAGAGTGAACTAACTGTGTTCATTATTTACAGTAGGGGGGTCTGATCCTTGGCCTGTAGGGGCCCACAGCGACCTGTGTGGCCCCGTAAAGGGCTGTTAAGGGACAAGCAAAGCTGTTAGTAAGGGATTCCTCCACTGAAAGGTCAGCTCTGTCCTACCATTTGCTAATAAGCATGTTTCAAATTTAAATATAGAACTAGCTACCCCTTAATTATCCCAGCCCATCTTGAGACCATGTGTTATTACATGAAACCCTCTTAAGAAGACAGTAGACTCTCCCAATGGGAAATTAAGACTTTACAAACACTACCCTTGGGATTACTGTACAACTGTTAAAGTCATAACACCGGAAAGGAATGGTGTTTTTGTGGTAGAAGATTAGTCGAGAACGCATGGGATGTGTTTATATCTATAGAACAGAATGTCTTTCTGCTTCGTGCACTACACTCTGTGCAATTAATGTTCCCACATATAAACTTTATGCCACATGACATGATTGACATATTGCGGGACACTCCCATGAGTCCTCTTGAGTTGCTTCAGGAAGAATATTTCTCAGTATCTGTCACCCAACCTCTTGTTTCATAGCAACCAAATGTCTCCAAAAGAATCCACCGCCCCGTAGATTCCGCAGGTATTCTCGAGTAAGAAGGCTTGGCAGGGAGGGTAGGGGACAGTTTCAGGGTGTGAGGAGCAGGGGAGCACAGCAGCATTGTGCTCCAGCGTGTGTCAGTTTTGCACTTGCATGGCCGGTTGGGTGGGACTTATGCAAAACTGTGATGTCATCCTTTCTGGTTTTGGTTTTCTCTCCACCCTAACCCTGCCCACAGGTAGCTTTGCTGCTGTCACTCAGCTGCTGTCACACAGCCTCTCCCCCTGCATGTGTGTTTGTGTGTGTTCTGCACTAGGTCACTTCTTATTTGCTACACACATGCTCCTCCCTGTCCGCTCTGTTCCCGAGTGATATGAACTTTGGAAGCAATGAGTTGTAGGCTGTGTCCCTGCCAGAGTATTTTTTGAGCGTTTATTCTTTGCCTCTGAAGGCGGACAACCCTCATCCCTGCTTTGTTCTTTGTCCAGGACAACCTGAACGTCTTCCTCAAGGCTTGCGGGAAGTTAGGACTAAAGGAAGCGCAGCTCTTTCACCCAGGAGATCTTCAAGATTTATCAACAAGAGTAACAGTCAAGTAAGTTCTAATAATATGAGCGTTGTTAAATACTTGTACTGGTGACATGTTGATATGCATCCCTGCCAATGACAGAGTTAAAATGGTCCTGTAAGCTGAGACCAACTTGTATTTTCTTTATACATGCTTCTATTCACTCACAATGTTTACATGTGACTTACACACCACATAGTGTTTTGGAGCATGTGTCTCCTCATGTGAGGCATTATTCAAAGCGCAGTTAAAAAAAGTCAGTGCTATTTTCAGTGTGTGTGTATGCTTGTGTTTGTAAGCACCTGTTAAAGCACAGCTATATGTGTTTCTGTAAATTATGATGCAGGGAACAATTGTGAAACTACAAAGGTCAGAAAAACAAAGCAAATGGTTTTGTTTAAAATGGATTTCCCTTTGGTGCAGGTCAAGATAATAATCACAACATATTTGCTGTGAAGTCGGGTAAAGTTTATAGAGATATTCAAGAAATGTCTTGCTTACAGTGTGAACAGCAGGAAGCTTAAGCGGAGAATGGCGACAATGGGACGAAAACATTTCAAGACTCTGCCACAGTGTTTATGTTTTTTTCCATTCAGACAGTTGGTCTTGTGTCAGTTTCGTGCTAGGCAGAGACACATGTGTTATGTTGAATAACCTGTTCAGCTTTTATACAGGTGTGCCTTCAGGACAGAGTGAAACAACAAGGGAGAGATCAGAGCAGAGTCCATCCACTGTGTGGCCAAACAGTAATGCTGTACAAGCAAATAAAGTGCTTTGGCAGCAATAGCTGCAGGTTGTAAAACTCGATGTAGATGGCACCCTATAGCTAATAGGTGTCAACAAATGAAAGGGGATGTTATGGAGTTGTGATCTTTTCCAAAACACTCCGCACCAGTGGAGCTTTCATTTTTTTCTCCAACTCCGTGTCACTTAATTGGGCAATTCATCTCAGTTCGGATGTTCCTTCGAGAAGTTGCCACAACGTCTCGGAACATTTTTTACCCATGATCCACACAAGAATTCAGTTTTCAGTATCACATACAATGGTGTCGAAACCACAGCCGTCACAAAAACACACACAGAGGCAGACACTGCTCACTGGAATATGAACTGTAAATAAACATATCGGCCTGCCTTTTATCAAGACACACCCTATTCCCACAGCAGAGGATATGCTGCCCGTAGATACAGAAATATGATTCACTGAACGTCTGATTCACCGTCATAAATGTAGAGATACTCTTTTAGTGCCCACGCGTTATCAGGCATTTCCCCTCTTGCATAACTTTTTCCCATGAAGTTGGCGGTACTATAAATGACTTTTCTTTCGAAATGATGTTGGCGAAAATGATACCCACGTTTTTTCAATAAATCCTTTGACTGTCCCAGTACCAGATTGCCTTGAAGCTCAGCTTTTTGCCACTATGTCTGTCTGCCTGCGTGCGTGCGGGGGTTGTTCAGAGAGGGGTTCACTTTCTATTTGTAGGACCTGTGGGTCCCTTTAACAAGCAGGATTGATTGGAATGGTATCAGGACTCAGGAGATGAGCTTTAAATAGTGTGTTGTCACCTCCCAGTACATTCTCCTGCATGGGGTCTTAAAGGTACACCTGTGTGTGTTTTGTTCACGTGTGTGAAATGATGAATGTGGTTTGCAGTTGTTCTGGTGTTTGGTCACCGTATCCCAAATGATTCATCCAGAGGAGAAACATCAATAGCTTTTGTGTTGCTGAAGCACACTGTTGTTTCACCTCAAACATGCTTAAAAAAAAGCAGGTTCTCTTCTTTTATATGAACCTGTATCTGTTCCGGCTGATTCAGCTGGAGTGTTTTGTACAAAAGGGAATTTCCTCTTCAATGATTTATTTATGTGTCCATTTTGTATTAACTGTAGCATTATTTAATTGGACTAAAAAGTATAAATATTTGAGTTTGTGGGCCCAATTATGTTGTTCCCGAGCTGCAGTATTTATAACTCGTGCTGATAGAGATGGCACAGAGAGGAGGGGAGAATCCCAAACAAGGCTGCAGACTAGCAACCAATGGCTTTATTTTACTGTTGCTTATCAGAGTCTATAGTCAAATGTGCCACAGAGAGCAGAGCACAGAGGGAGAGAGGGAAAGTTGTCTCTATCAGCTGTCTTTACCCCTGGTGTGTGTCCAACCTCCACTCCCTTAAACCCAGTCTGACAGGTGCTTCGCTCAGCTTCCCTGTTCCCTGTTTCAGCAGCAGAGAGCTTGTTATCCTGTAGGTACTGTAAGTTTCCATTCACTTATACCAGGCAGAGTCTTAAGCTAAAACATAAAACAATTGGCCTTTCATTTTCCTTTCTTTTCTATTCCATTAACTTTAATACATTATAATGTTAACATGTAACTATTTTACTGTAATGACTTTAACATCTTATAGAGAAAGTCATTTTTACACACTGTGTGTGTGTGTGTGTGTGTGTGTGTGTGTGTGTGTGTGTGTGTGTGTGTGTGTGTGTGTGTGTGTGTGGCTATATTTTTGAATCTGCATAAAAGCAGCAACGTTAGATAATGAATTAGATTTGGTAATAATGTGTTAGTCAGCTATTTTAATTAATCCTTTAATCACGTATCTATCCAACATTTAATGGCTTCAGCTTCTCAAATGACTCTATTCTAAACTTTATTTCATTTTCAATGTTGCTTGGGCTGAAAAGGACATGATTTATTTTTGATTACAATTGATTGTATATTTTAAGGATATTTGAATATCTGTTGTTATTATTCAACACTAGTTCACAGTTCTTGACTTGAGCTTGGTTAGCATTATCGTCCTCCAGCTCAAGGAGAAATGTTGGATTTCACACATTGATAGTTTTTCCTTGAAATCTAGGTATTAACATGGCCAGTGTCTTTCATTTGGCATGAAGCTGGAGTCAGATATTGACTTAAGCAAGGTGTGTTGAGAACACAGTTTAATTCATACAGGTCTGCTTTGTCACGACAGCCATAAAAGATTATTATAGATGTCTATTTTGACCTTTGAGCTTGGCGGTTGTTGTATTCATAGACTTGCCACCATCTGGAGTGCATGTCGCTTTATTTCCTCCTGTTGTGTAACCGGCTTTCTGATAAAACACGTTTTATTATCCACAAACTCATTCAATATCAACATTTGTCGTATAACATGACAAACTGTTATCACAGGTTGATAAGAGAAGAATGTGCGTTGGTGGGTGATGTGTTCTCTAGGTTTTACTCGCATCATCTATGTGCAAACACTCGGAGGTCTAATACTGACCAGACACAATCTGATTCGTCATTGGAGGCTATGATTCAACATTTGTCTAGTTTTCTAACAGCTGCCAAGGAAATGAGGCTAAGGGTGATGGCTATAAAGTGCTTCATGAATCATGGCATCCGAAACTGCTCTTTTTTTATTAAGCTCCAGCCACTTCCTTTAAACCCATAGCTGCCATTTGGAGATTTGGCAGCATGCTTGGACTAGAACCACCACTTTGAGTTGACTTAAAGAAAAAGGCTAGAACATGTCGTGATTTCCCTAATGACACTTAATGTCAGCTGAGTACTGTATGCTTGACCCTTTGTGAATGTTTTAACAAGTTCCATTTGCCCTAGAGATTCATAAATCTGCCTCAGGAGATGGGGATTGCATGTGGAACCAAGGATGTACTGTACAGTCACATTACACACTGTGCTGTTGTACTGTTGCTAAGGGACTCTCATACTTGTTTTGTTTTTTCCAGTCTATAACCGACATGAACCTCAGGCTAACCCTTGTTGTATCTACTGTACTTTTCTATCAGAGCAAGTCTAAGAGGAATAACAGCATTTCGGATCTACCATGAATGTTGTCACACGCGAATGCCTTAGAGAACAAGCTATGAGTAGTGATGTAAATGATGTTGAATAAATCAAAAACACATGTTGTTTTGTGTATAATTACTTATACTAAAGTAAAGAATAAATGGCTTTGTGTCCAGCTTCTCCTTTGTGACCTTGATTGAGTGACAGAACATACCCCCCGCTGAGATGAGTCCAAAGTCTCAGTCTTTGCCGCCATTTGATTAAGCAAATTATTGACAAGGGTTGACTACTTTCCAAACCAAAAAAAAGAACTTGCACTGGTTCAACAGGTACATCGAAATGCATTGTCCTTGGAGGAATGTCAATTACCCTTGTGAACAACGGATAAAGAGGAGTGGTTGTGTTTTTCATTTTATGAATTCGATTATGCAATGGCATCCCTGGCTCTGAATCAAACCAAAAGTTGAATCACCTGAAGGAATGCGCCGTTTCACAGACACATTTGGACTGACTTCACAGCCTGTTATCAGAATGTATTCAACACCAACCTATATGGAACCTCATACCATGTGTGTACTGCTTTTCATGTAGTTTATAACTCTCAGTGACAAAGTCTAAGTGAAGTGCCTCATGCATAAAGGAGAAACTGCCCTATGTGTTAGTGTTTTGGGTGTGGTACACTGGGCTGGCACTGCATGTTCTGGTTTTGTAGTTGAATACATGGCACTGCCTTCCCTTCTTGTTGCAGTGTTGTGTGAACTGTGGGCAGATTGTGAAACCAAACGAGCGATGATGGTAAAAGGCCAATAAAGTTTCTACACCATGGCTCTGGCTGTGAAAGGCTAACACAAGGGTTATATTTGTGCTCGTTGACTTGGAGAGAGAAATGCCAGCCTCACCCTGCTGTCTCCCTCACAGAGCCTGCAGTGTCTCCAATAAGAACACAATGATGCCCGACACTGTCTAACCCACAGCTGATTCCTCTATTCAAACTCTCCTTGTGTCTGCATTTTTCAGGACTCATAATGCATGAGATCGTCTGGGTGTGTCTTTAAATCCAAAAACATTTCATTAGAATGAGAGATTGTTGACGAAGGATGTGACTTGGTGGTGTTGAATGCTGCAGAGCAAGTGATCTTCATTGCAGAGGTATGCTTATGATCACACGTGCACACCCAGTAATTTAAGGCTTGGGTTCTCGGTTTGTTTGTCTTTGGGATGTTGTTGTCTTCAACAAGCGGAGCTGCCTTGATCTTGTTTGTGGCTTTACATGGATTGACACACATCCTGTGGCCTTTGATTGGTCAGTTTTCACCTTCAGGTTTGTGTTTACCTAAAGATCGAGACATACTTTTGTCTTTGTTACAAGACAGGGAAGTGATTGACTAAATTGGAAGGATAATTTACCTTGGCGAATGTCTAGAAGTTATTTGTGTAAGATTTGAATAGTGGCTAATGTTTCTTCAGTCCTGTGTGTTTCTTTCTTTGTTTATGATTTGTATTGGCTGAATGAAAATCAAATGGATATAGTTGTTTGTTTTGGCAAAATAATGTCATGCTATACTGCTGTTTGAAAGAAATCAATGACCTGAATACAAATAATGAATAATTTGTTTAAATAAATACATTTTTGCGAGTGTAATATTTGATGTAGCTATAACTTTTGCAATTAATGTTGATTGATCCTGTAGCTGTTGTCTGATATTGTCCACTTTTGTTACACTGTGTGGTTGATAATTATTAGTAATAATGGGCTAACAGGTAATCGTGTCTGAAATCTTTGCATCTCCACTGGAAGATAAAAGAGAAAGGATGTCTCTCACTTTTTGACCTTTGCAAGAGAGTGGTAATGTGAGTGTCTGTGTAAACATGCAAAGGTTGAGACTGAAAAGGCTGGAAGTGTTGAGAGTGCTCTGTTAATTTGGCAAGTTCTCTGTTTACTCACTCTTTAGCACGTATACGTTGTCTGGAAAGTGTTCTCTTTTATTTCCTAAACAGTAACATTGGAGAAAAACCTAACAAAAGCTTATCACGTATTAACAAGGAAACAAGTATATATAGGGCTGCTACTATATTAGGAACATATGTTATACCAAAGTAATATAACTTGCAAAAAGAAAACAATATTCAAATGGAATGAGTTTGGCCTTTTTGCTGCTTTTTAGTATAATCTTAAATTACAACAAATTGCTTGTGAAATTAAACAAAACATGAACATTAATCTGTTTACATTTTTTAAAGATGGAAACAATCAAATAGAATATATTTCGCAGCCCTAATGATATATTTTTACTTTAATCTGAGTGGAATGAAGTGTGAGGAAAATTCTGTCTTAACTGCTTGCTTGTGTGAAAGATACATAAACACTACATAAACACTTCGGCACATAAAGTATAAAAACCCAACATGATTCCTGATCAAACTACCTCCTCACAAAAGCTATTTATATTCTGTAATTTCTGTGCAGAAATCGCATGTATCAGATTTAATGACGTTCTCTCCATCATATGAGAACTCAGCTGATTCTAAAAGTCCTGAGGCTACAGTGGTCTGAAAATAGCCCTTATATATTTTCTCTTCTATTCAACTATCACCACAAGGCATAATTAAGTGTTGCAAGAGGCAGTCTGGTGGTAGTTCTGGTACAAAGCTCTTTTTTTTTGTTGCTGGATCTGGCTTTCACTGCCAAAATCTGAGCCTTTGGGATTTCTTTCCCTTTTTATTGGGCCTATAAATGTGCATTATGCCAAATTGGTAAACGTTCATTTCAGATTTCACTGTTGGCGAATTAGCTTGTTGAATTCCCCTGGTGTGACATGAGGCTGAGAAAGTTCCACTGACGTTCTTCCCAATGGTTTAATCTTCAACAGTTTGTTGTATTGTATGATAAAATCTAATTATTTTGAAAGTAAAAGCTTAGACTGTTTGTAGATCTCAGATAAATGTTGTGTAGTCAAAACATTTTTCTCCCTGAATAGAAGTCTCTTTGTAATGCAGTAAAATGTAAACATAAAGTAAAAGAAGAAGGAAATGATCAAGCACAAAAACCTCAAATTGAAATACTTGTACCACTCCACTGAATGTCATATAATGTAATGCTAATGTGTCAGTTAGCTAGGTCCCCTGATTTTAATACACTTAAATTATGTGTGTATTATGTGTTTAATTAAAAATGTTTACTTAATTTCCTCCCCTTTACCATATGGGCCTGACCACGTTTGATTGACAGGCATCTCAGGTGTGAACGTCACACATGCATTAATGCTCAGCAGGTGCATTTGTTACATTGCATGCTGGGAAAGGGCTTCAAGGAATCCAAGTGCTCGTGGCTTGAAAGGCATGTGTGACTATTGTATTACCACATGATAGCAGGAATGTGTAGCATGTACATGGGATGTGAAGCAGATTGTATATCTCCCGTATTCACTGTTATGGTTACCGTACTTTAGCGGTTTATAACGGTTTATTGAGCTCCCTAAATAGATGCTACATTGGTGACAGGTACATGTGAAAAAGGGTCATATCTGGCGTGCAGGCTGACACTGTGGGCTTTGTTTGGTTCCACAGGAGCGAGAGGGAGCTGACATTTTCCTGTGAAAGTGATTTACTAACTGCCAGGTCAACTGTCAAACCCCAGAAATATGACTGAAATTCCCGATGACCTGTGCGGCATGTGAGGGGCTTTGTAGCTCCAACAGTAGAGCCTTGTTGGATGATCAATCATCAGTTATTAGTATTATCATTATTTGAAATCAGAAACAAAAACCCCTTTTGTGCCCCTCAACTTTAACTAGATGTTTTTACAGCTGCTTGATTGTGTGATTAGAGTTAAAAAATAAGACACACCTTAAACACTTTACTTTTTGGCGTACAATTATTTTTTCCAGAAAAGTGTGTTTGTTTTTCTCTCAGCCTCTGTATTGTTAGTGAGAGTGTGAAGGGCTGGCAGTAGTCGGGATTGTGCTCTCACTTTCCAGCTCTTTCACTGCCCAACACACAGACCCAACAAGCATGCCCTCTGTTCTTTTATTGTCATTTCTCTCACACATACACCTCTGTGTTCTGCTCTTTCTCTCGCAGGCATCAAGAGACCAACAGGAGACTGAAAAATGTAAGTGGAAAAATATAAGAAATATTTATTTGTGTGTCATTTGACAATAATATAACTTGATTTAGCTTCAGTTATTCGAAATGACTGGAGATTAGCAATTTATAAAGGGATTACAACTTTAAAGTATGTTAGTATGTGTTGTTGGATTGACCTCTGTTAGAAATCGAATAAATTGCAGTAAAATTAAAAAAATGTTAGAAAAAAAGTGAGCTCCTCAACTTGAGGCAAGCTGCTGGAGGCTATATGCACTGAGCATTGTGGGTAATGTGATACCAGGTTTTGACTTTTGACAAGGAAGAAGAATGTGTCTGATGTCTCAAGTTTTGATATTTAAAAAAAACGAGAGTCCATCAAAGCTATTAGAGCGAAATGCTGGAGAATTGTATTTATTTTGAAACAGTCCCTTAACCTTTTTAAAATAATTTTTAAGATGATATTAAAGGTAATATCTAACTTTTTGAGGTGAAACAACCAACATGTTACATTAAGTTTTCGCTAAATAATTTTAACAGTTTTTATTTGAGGCGTTTTTCCCAATGAAAATAAGGAGAGGGATAGGGGATGATGAAAGGAACAGCACAGCGACCAGAAACAAACAAGACTTTTGCATTGACAGCTTATGTATAACATTGCTAGTCATATATTTGTGGATTTAGGTTTATTGCAAGTTAAAGCATAGTATTTGTCATCACAGCTTCATTGTGTATTTTATTTCGACATTGTTGTTGTGCATGTGGCTCGTGATATTAAACCAAACAGCTGACATGTCAGTTTGCGTATCACGTAATGGGGGACCAGCATCGTCGATGTGGCGATGATTGTTTGCTTTGGTGCAGCACATTTACTTGCCCACACAATCAACAACAGAGTATTCTGGAAACAAAAGCAGGCCACCAGCGGATATCACCTTCTTTCAGTGTCACTCTTATTACAATAACCTGCTTAGCACGGCATAGAACATTCATCTGCTAGGGTCGAAATATAGCTGTCATCTGATGTGGAAACAATCATTTGTTCTAACATATATTCTATGGCTTGTCTAATGAGTTATTTGTTGTCTTCTCTCCAGGTTTTGATCACCATATATTGGCTGGGAAGAAGAGCTCAGTGTGACCGTATCTATGATGGGCCTTACCTGAATTTGAAGGCATTCGAGGGCTTATTGGGCACAGCGCTATACAAGGTAAACCCTCAAAGTGGATAATTATCCCATTGTGCACTCTGAGCTGTCTAACCTGTGTCGTCATGTAACACAAGCTTAATTTTCTTGGGGAAACCAGACATGGCATGAAAGAAATCCTCTTTTACAGCCACTGCACAGTGAGGTTCTGTTTCCTCCCTGGTATGTAGACTATGTGCAGAAGAATGGCTGTTAAACACTGGGGGGCCTCAGATTGCCAGCCACTAAAACCAAAGCTACGTTAAGTCATAAATGACCTGATTCCTTGATACAACTATTCTAATCTTGTTTTACGGCAAGGCACCAAGTTCGCATAGTGAACAAATCAAATAGATGCTCTGTTTCTTGAATAGGCCTTAAGTCGTTTAAGTGTTGAGTGTGGCACTTTGTTTTCACTTAGATTTATAGGTGGTGGTGTGCAACTCCTCTGTAATTCAAAAGACTAAAGGGATTTTATATAATAGCAGTTGGGTTGTGCTCGTTTTGTACGTTTAGCTATGATAATCCAAGTGCACTGGCGCGGGGGTGATGCTGGATTTAGTTTGTGGACTTGTATTGTCTGGTAGGATTTGCTGGATTACAGATCTGCAAATAATTTTCTTTTTAAGTGGCTGACAAGTCTTTTCTTGTTTTTAACCACACTCTTTAAAGTGCCTTCGGAGCTAGCCTTATGGCACTGTTTGTTTTGACACAGATGGAATTTAATTTAAAAAATCTATTTATTTTTTTTACATGTGATGCACCGTCCCTGATACACAGTGTAGGTGTGTGTGTTCTCAGTCACTGAGTGTAAGAAAAAAGGGCCAACAAATACAGACCTCACACTCTACTGTACCTGGGAGTTCTTTTGCACACACACACACACACACACACACACACACACACACACACACACACAACACACACACACACACACACACACACACACACACACACACACACACACACACACACACACACACACACACACACACACACACACACACACACAGTGGGGCTAAATAATATAATGTGTTACCCTATTATCTGACTGTGTGTGTTTGTGTGTGTATGAAAGGCTCTGCAGGAATCGCCCAGTCAGAAAGGCAGCAGTGTCAGAGACAGCGGTTTTGGAGATAGCTGGTACTCAGAGAGAGAGGAGCTCTTCCAACTGAGAGAAGGAGGAGGAGGAGGAGGAGACAGACACCGGAGAGACGACTCCCTGGACAGCTTGGACTCTTTGGGCTCCCGACCCCAGAGCATCTCATCTGAGATCACTCTTAAAGGCAGCGTCGAGGGTAGGAGACATCATGTCATTTGCATCTATCCCCAAATATAATGTGCTAGTCTGACAAAACGTGTAAAACCTGCTGTTCCTTAACCCGTTTCTTTTCACCCTTCCCATGCTGACTTTATGCCATAAGAGGTCAGAGCATGCTTTCTTTATATTGTTTTATGTTTAATCCTCTTCACAGCCTGGTTTTTGATCAATAAAGTGTCCAGACTTTCTCACATCTTTTCTCTGCATGAATATTTACAATTAGGGTTAATCTGTCACGAACTTCAAATATTTGTGAACAGAGAAAAATGCAGCTTTTGAGCCAGAAAGTTGCCTCGCATCTGTGAAAACAAAGGCCTATTGCCATCTAGTGGTGTGCTTTTAAAAGTGAATGTTTTCACTGAAAAGTCCCCCACGAAGGAGACATTATATATCAATGCTGAAGTCAGTATGTGATCTTGTTTCATGACAAAAGTGTGGTATGCATGAGAGAGGGTCAAGTGCTGGTCAGTGCTCGCAGAGTGTTGTCCCCCCTGTAGGAAAAGGCAGTGAGACATTCCTCAGCCATCCACACTAGCTTGTAAATGAGGAGGCCTCCGCTCCCCACCCTGCACCCCTCTGTTAGTCCTCTAAAGTCACGCCAGAACACACAACACACTCCCCTCGCTCTTTTCTCTTCTTTCACATAGTTATTCCTTTTTGCTACTTCATTGCACTTATCAAACCTCCTTCTTCTCTTCTATTCTCACACTTTTCTTTATTATCTCCCATCTTTTTTACAACTTTTTGTCCTCCCTCTTCTAGCTCCAGGTTTTTGCAGCGACACCGAGGTAGACTCTGTCTTCAGGATGGCAGAGAACAAGGACGGTCTTAGTTACCGGCGGTCAGTAGTCATCACACCCAAGGCCACCGCCCAGTTCAACCAGTTCCTTCCCAGTAAAGACAAAGCGTCAGCCTACGTGCCGGCTCCGCTGAGGAAGAAACGGGCCGAGCGCAATGAGGACCACCGGCGCAGCTGGGCCAACCCCATATACACAGAGGATGAAGGCGCACTGACCAGGTACTGTCACACACAACAGTAAACACTTTGATTGTATTGAAGGTTTTTTCTCCTTTCTTTCTTAAGAGCAACGTACCATAACAAATATAGAAAGTTAACCCAGTTGTGCTTAAATTGCCTAAAATGTACATTGTCTCCTCTCCCATCATGTTGGTGTTTGTGTTGCGGTTGTATTGTCTCATATGGTCGATGTCGTTGTGTACTGGTGTTGTGTTTCATTTGCTGTGGAATGACGTCCTCAGCGACTGCTCTGGCCAAAGTCAAGTATCCCAGAGTGCCTTGCCTGCGGCTCATGTACCGTTGGCCTACGAGTATGAAAGCGGCAGCGACTCTGACGCAGAACGACCGGACCCCGACCTTGTTCTGGACGACCTGGCCAGCAGACGCTTCCACAGCCCCTCCCCGGCTCCTCCAACCAACTTCGCCTTGCCCGCCACTCCCCTGGCAGCAGGAAGGGCGCCTGCCGGTAGCGGGGGCCCCTGGCCTAAGGTCAATATGACCCCCAATGTTGCCCCTCCACAGAATGTGACCTGCCTCAGGTCAGAGAACATGAAGCAACCGTGTGACTTTGATGTGCCTGCCTGATGAGAGCCAACCAATACGCTTCTCTTACCCTCAGTTTGCATGGTTATCTGTAACCATGATCAACCTCCTTGGTTCTAGTATGCTGCCTCTAACAGTGCTCTAAAGTCGTTTGTTGGTTTCTGTTTGGTTTGTTTTGAGATTGTATCTGCAGCACGTATTTGAGCTTGGAGGAGTGATTTGAGTTGGTAACATACAGTAACTCCTCAAATCAAGTTTTGCCTCCTTGATAGTTTGTTTTCAAGCTTGCATTGGTTTGCTAATCCTTGCGTCATCTCATTATGCTACTCTTTGCGTGCCTGGCGTGCTGTGCTGCTGCTGAAAAAATTCTTTTGACACGTGTGTTCGGCTGTCTCTCTTGAGCAGCAGCGGCGTCAACAGTGGGGAAATGCAGCCCCCCCGGCAGGGCTCCGAGAGGGAGGACCACCGCCGGCCCGTGTCCACCGACAGCCTGTTCAGGGAGATTTACGGTGACTCTGACGATGAGGACGAGGAGGAGGGCTATGCTGACCCCGTCCAAGATGACCTCTACTCTCGCAAGATGGGCATCAAACCTCAGCCTGTTGCCAAAGTGTCTTATGACAAGTTTTTACCAAAGTTCTGGAGCCCTGAAGAAGACGTTCACATACAGAAGATTAAAATGGGCTCTCAGAAGAGACCCTGGTACAAGAAGATACAAGGCTTCAGGTGTGTGGGGCGTTCAAATCCAGTGGAATTATCTCATATATATTTAAACAAATATGTAAAATATATTCAGTAGCAATATCATGGATAAAGTTAATTCCTTGCTTCTTGCATAATCTTTTCTTACTGTTCTGCCAGACACTTTGCAATCTTTAAATAATGATTGCATGCCAATTTAACCTTTAAGATCCTTTCATTCAGAAATGGGTTTTCTGTCATTCACTGCATTTTCTATAAAGATTCCTCCCACTTACTTCTTTTTCTTTTTCCCTGCTATTGCTCTCTTATCTTTCACCTCCCTTTCCCCCCCTCTCTGCTCCTTCTCTATCCTCCGTCCACCCGGCCGTAGCCATAAGAAGTCGGGCTCTTCGTCAGATGATTCGGACTGTGACACCATTCCTTGGCTCTCCCCCGCCACCCCCTCTCACTCCGGCCCCTCCCCCTCTCACTCCCACACACACGAGGCCTCGGCTCACACCACCCTCGTTGTGGGGAAAAGGTCGATAAAGCTGCATGATTGTGACAATGAAGGAATGATTTAGATCATCCAGATTTTCTAGGAGAACTATAATGTGCTCGTTTGAGGCTGAATTTAGGATGAGCTGCTTTCTAATGTACTAATGCTTTTTTTTTTAAAGCTACTGGAAATTGCCCTAACACGCTTTATAGAACTAAAATAGAAAATAATCCTTCTCAGCATTACCCTATTTTTATGACAATCTATTCTAGTGAAGACTCATGTAAAATCCCTATTTGATCAAAATCAGTTTGAATCAAATATCACTACTGTGGCTGCTCAATGTATCTCGTCCTCCTTTTCTTGCTCTTCGATCCATTTCACATGCATGCACTCATCACCTCTCTGTCCTTTTTCTCTTCTTCTGCCCAACCTGCAGTCCTCATATTCAAGCACACACTCTCCCACAGTTCCCCAAGATACAGTCCCCTCTGTTAGAGACCCCCCCTCTGGTGTTTGCCCCAGTGGACCCTGCCTCGGGTCCCAGGCTGGTCAAATGTGAGAGGTGGCCCCTCTTAGGGCGCCAAGACCCCAGGGAGCCCCCGGATATCTTTGATTATGACAGCATAGTCCCTGATTTGGAGAATGATGACATGTTTACCAGGCGAACCCTTACCTTCCAGTCCAACACAGACATGGCTTTGATGAAGACGCAGCTGTCTGCTCACCGTCGTCTCTACACCTCTGAGCCGCAACTCAACATCATCACCCAGCGACACGGCATCACAGAGGACAGCGAGTTCCCTGATATCGAGCAGGACGACGTTGTTTATCGTAAGGAGAAATCTCAGAAGGAACAGCGGCCCCTCTCCGGAGCCCCTGACAACTACGCCCCTATGTCCATCCCAGAGCCATGGGATCTGCCTCCTGAGCTCAAAGCCAGACTCCTGTGCCCCCCATGTCCTCTGATCAAGGAGGTAGCAGCAAACAAACAGAATGAGGATTCGAATGAGATGCGTCCTAAAACGGATGACATGCTGGTCAGGAAATGTGGAGTTTGTTCTGATCAGAGCCAGAGCTCTCTGATGACGCCCTCAGTGCCTTCTTTCTGTAGTGAAGGTGACCTGCAGAAATGGAAGGCTATCAGGGAAGCCAGTCAGCTGAGACATAGGAAGAGGCTCATGGTGGAGAGGCTGGCTGCTCTGAGGTTGAAGGAGAAGATTTCTGTAACAGTGCCTGTTGGTTTCTCCTCACCTTGTAGACCGTGAAAGGGGCTTGATTTTTGTTCCCTGTCTGATAGTGAAGTGGTCTAGACTGCATGTTGATCCCACTTGTTAAACGATTGGTTTGAAGGCTGTCATAGATAGGATATCAATAACAAGTCTTCCTTGTAAAATCTGATAGGTGCATTTAGACTTCACTGGGTCTGTCAAATAAACTGCAATGAAGGAGCAGCAACAGCTCTGACTTTTTGTGTTTTAAATGTTTGTTGTTATTTCATGTTGAAAGTGTTTCCAGTCAGAAATGAACAACTGTAATAAAGTCCCTATGACATTGTAAGCATGGGGCCATTGGTGTAGTTTTCTGCATGATGGCAAAAGCTTAATTTGACTTTAACGTGGAAATTATACCTACTGGTACTGTGTTTTTGAAGTGTGATTTTAGGACAGAAATCTGCAGCATCATGAATCAAAATGTGATTGGTTCATCTCGAGAACTGTTGAAGAGAATTTGAGAATTCTCTTCTGAATTCAGAATTGTATCTTTGGTTTTGTTTTCCTATCAGACCGAGTTTCTGTGAATTAAAAAATATTGCAAGCTTAATAAAGAAAATCTTCATGATCTTGTGATGGATTGAATTGGCCCTTTGTTAACCTCATTGAACACACACAGTAACACAGATCTGATCAGAGTTCGATGTCGATTTCCTCAGCAGAGGGAACTTCACACTGATATGTAAAGCTCAAAGTGCAGCAGCACGAGAGTGTGGAAGCGTTCAATCCTGAGTAATATCCAAACATAACTTCCTGGACACACTGACAGCACCAAGCGGGGCAAACTAATGTAGTCCTGCCTGTTAAGCCGGCATGAAAGCCTATACAAATTCCCCACAGCTCTGATATAAAGACGCGACTCATGGACTCCATAGTAACCTGAACACAAGTCTGTACTCTAGTGTTTGCTCATGAACAGACACACACAAGCACATACAATGCAACCATTTAACCTGGAGTCAACGCCATCTGGATTTACTTCACTTCCATATGTAAAGCCATGTTTCCAATGACATCATGTCGCAGTCTACAGAAAGACAGCTTTGTTTAAGGAAATATAAGTGTCTATACGGTAACACTGTGCTGCACGCCTACTCTACACACCTTAAAGTGTAATCCCTTCAGTGTATAATGTCAAAAAAACTGCTGAGTCATGTTTTAGCTGGCTTTATATTAATTTGTATCACACCAGCTAGGAACAAGTTGATATTAAAGTCAGTAATTGCCTAAAGCTCTTGACCAGACCCCTCTCAGACTTAGCCTCTTTTGCAAAAATGTGACTTTGTTGTGTGTGGTTCTTTCTGGTTCCCTAGACAGCACCGAATGCAAGAGAGTATCGACGGGTGAGTTGATACGGGCTCCCAGGAATGTGGCACGTTTGCATTTGCTCTGGCCTCTTACAGTCGCACCTCGCTGCCCCCTGCTTTTGTGCTGCTGTTCTCACTCACTAGCTGCTAAATGCTGACACACAACACAGGGTATTGTATGGCACAAGGCCAAGTTCAGGGTGAGCCGGGGCGGGATTCATTGCTCTGCAGGGATCTATTGACAACACAATAAAGTGAAAACATGCGTACAATAGCAATACGCAGGGTCATCTACCTAGACTAGTCTGCCCCACTCAGAGTTATGACTGAGCACTGGTCTGAGCACCCTGATAACAAATCATAACAGGCCTTAGTAGGTGAGTTGGGACAAAAAGCATTTTCTTTATGGTAGTGAGTGACTTTGCTATTTTTGCTTGACGGGAAGGGCTGCGACATGTTACTAACCCACTGAGCTTACTTCCCTCCACAGTTTGTTGTGGTTGACCTGTGTGCTGTGTTTTCAACTAACACTTGGTTACAGGTTAAATGTCTAATTATCACTATCTAAAAATATGGATGGGAGGTACAAGGTGGGAGTTATTTCTTTATTTCTGTTTGGAATGGTGTTCTCTTTTTGGTACAGTTTGATGTGATGGTTAGACAAGGTGCATGCATACTCAACCTGGACATTTGGATATTCTTTTGGATTTTGCTAACTTTTATTTAACCTTTTGTGAAGCTTGTGCCAGGATATCCATACTAAACATCCCTGTCGCTTCTCTCTTGAGCTGCTGATATCCTAGTTGTTTTTAAAAACGTTTCAACTCTTTCTTTCAACAGGAGTAAATCAACAAGTGATATCCAGGTTGAGCCCAGTGTCAACCGGCAGGTTCGATACGAAGAGCTTCAGCAGGTTCGGGAGAAGACAAAGGAAAGTGATGATAGGTGGCAGGATGTGAGTATTACCTTTTGTGTTTCCGCCATTGTGTTTATCTCAGAATCCGAATCAGAATACCTTTATTAGTCCCACAGAGGGGAAATTTGCAGCGTTACAGCAGGAAAGAGCCACAGACAGCTTAGTGTTGCATATCTGAAATGCGTTAAAAAAAGTACTAAGTTACAATATAATAAACAAACAACACAACAATATGCTAAAAAAAGTACTAAGTTATAATATAATAAACAATATGCTAAAAAAAGATAAAAATAAAAAAGTTACATAATTTTCAAAAACAAATCAAATCTACAAATCAAATCCTTTAGCAGTTCTTATGATTTAGCAGCCCGGTATATATTACAGTTATTAAAGATGGCATATGTATATAAAGTATATATTGCACATAAAGCACATATTGCACATAGTTTGACGGTATTTAACAGCAGCAAGTTACACAATCTACAAAATACAACATACATACCTCGTAACAGTAACAAGGGTTTAGCAGCCAGGTATAAATTACACAGTTATCAATGGCATATATATATTGCACATATAGCACAAAGTCGGTTTGTATTTAGCAGCAAGGGGTGTTAAAGTCTGTGTTGTGGTGTGTGCAGGAGGGTCTAGAATCAAGACAAGCTGACTCTGGCACAAAGAACGTTTTGTTGTTAGGGAAAGATACATGATCTGAAAGGATCTGTGCGCTGATCAGAGAGCAGGTGTTGTGCTGCAGTCTGCGCCCGCAGGGGGGAAAGAGAGCTGTTTAGATAGAAGCCAGAGACGGAGATACACAGTGATTGGTGCAGCACTGCCCTCTGGCTCTGGACTGCCCTCATTTCCAAATCAGTGTCTGAGGCAGGAAACGCCACATCCTGTAAATACTAATAATGTAATTCATGTGAAATAGTGTTAAGATGTTATACAGACGAATGATGTGGGACAGACACCTCAAAATAATTAAATAAATGTATTAATCCATTTTAATTTGACCTGATGGTGAAAGTTATTCCTGGGGAAAAAAACGTTTTAAAGGGCAAGTGGTGCTCTCGTTTTAAACAGCAGTGTTCCATCACATTTGATCATTTATAGGTATATCAATGAAAAGAAACATAAAGTTATTTATATTTATGTGACTTGCTTTGACAGTGGTGTATCTTTCAACAGTCCAATAAGTGTCATGGCTAAATAATAGTCTTTAAGTAGCATTTAGGTCACACAGTCCCGGATACACAGGGGACGTGAGCCGGGAGGAGCCTCAAGCACACAAATAGAACACCTTCAAATGAAGCCCTTTCTGTTATTTTGTATTTCTCTCTCCTTCTTCACTTTACTCCCTCCAGCTGTACAGTCAGCCATGCAACACAACAAGTCTGTTTTTAACTTGCCTCAGGCTGAATTGTTACAAAATGGTGCATGAGGTGATCTGGGCTTACTTTTTCTGCAGGACCTGAGCAAATGGAAGAACCGACGCAGGAGTGTCAACTCTGATATCGTGAAGAAGAAAGAGGAAAGGGAGAAGGTAGAGGAGACTACGTACAGCAGCAGCGGCAGCAGCAGCAACAGAAGGTCCAAGACCCTCAAGGAGATGCAAGAGGACAGGTAAGAGAAAGCACACCTTCATAGGGGCTATTGAGGGCAAGGATATGTTATTAATAGATTTAATGCTTTAGAATTTACATTTGTATTAAATAACTTGTTCCAATATGTATTTGTTTACCCTCGGAGGGGGATCCTTTGCTAAGGTAATCAAATAAAAAGGTTTGTATTATAGCTTTTGTGGTATTAAAGATAGAGACCACTGTATTATTGTGCAGTGATGGAGGAGACTGTCGTTGTGCCTTCAGTCAGTGTGAAAGTGTAATTTAATCATGGTTTATAACCAGTCTTATTTTTTTCTTTTTGCCCCACCTCTCCTCTTTTCAACCTGTACTTTTCTATTTTCATGTCACGTTTTCTCTTTATTTTCTAAATTCTATCCCTTCTCATCTTTATTTCACCCATCACTGTCCACTTTTTTCCTATTTACCTCTTCTCCTTTCTCCTCCTCTGTCTGGGCCACAGAGGAAATAAAGGAAGGAACAGCATCGGCAGCCGTATGTCATCTCTGTCTTACCAGGACGACGACGAAGTCTTTGATAAACCTGTCACTTCCCCACGTATCCGAACCCTTCCTGCCAGGAGCTACACTATTGACACTCCTTACCATTCCTCTGAGCCTTCTCTGAAAGAGGTCGAACCCCCCGCTGCCTCCCCAGCTACTGGCAGGGCCGCCTCCCCTCCCACCTCACGGGAAGTTGACATTGTGGATAGATCTGCAGGCAGCTACGCCACGACCACCAATACTCCCACCTTCACTCCCAGAAGCCGCAGATCTCCTTCTTCAGCACCTATAGAGAGGAGTCCAGTCACAGAACGCAAAAGCACAGTCAAGACAGAGGAGACCACCACCAGCTTCACCCCCTCCTTCACTCCCAGCAGCCGCAGATCTCCTTCTCCAGCACCTTTAGAGAGGAGTCCAGTCACAGAACGCAAAAGCACAGTCAAGACAGAGGAGACCACCACCACCTTCATCCCCTCTTTGATTCCCAGCATCACTCCCAGTATCCGCAGATCGCATTCTCCAACTTTTGCACCTTTAAACTGGAGTCCAGTTGCAGAACGCAAAAGCAGAGTCAAAACAGAGGAGACCACAACCACAGTCATCTCCTCTTCTAGCTCCGTACAAAAGGCGCCGGAGTCTAGGCGCCCATTGTCGCGCATACAGACTGAGGTGGGGGCCCCCTCCTCTGGTTTTCTGTACAAACAACAACCACAGACCAGCTCGATGGAACCCAAGCCTCCCGGGGTGTCTCATGTTTCCGCCTCCCTCCCCAGGAGCTACCAGAAATCGGATAGCGCACGTATAACCTCAGTTGTCACGGCAAGGCCCTTCGGGACCCAGTCGTCCCGCCTCAGCTCCATGCCCCGTCCGTTCATAGTGAGTACTAGACATTTATACAATTAAAAACAAACTACCAGTACAGGACAAAGGGCTGAATGACATTTGAGGGCTTGAGGGGACAGTGTTTGTTTGGCAGGATTAAATGTTGTTCGTCAGGTACGGTGTTATTTGTTTTGAGTGCATCAATGTTATCCAAGAGTCCGATCTGATTACCTGGTGAATAATGGATGAAGCTAGTGTTTTTATAAGGCTCGACTGACAGAGCTGCTATGTTCATTCTCCCTCACATTCATTACTGTTAATGTGCTTTCAGGTCAGCTAGTGACCGCAGGTGACGATTGTGGAACTCTATTTAAAAATACATATATTCTCCCAGTTTTTTTGATTTATTTCATATTTGAATTGATAATTTTGCACTTAAAAGCCGTGAGTTAATCAAATATATTTGTACAATATTGTATAATTTCCTTTCTTTTTTTGAAAATCTGCATTCAGGCCGGACAGACGGACACCGCTCAGAAGCGTGTCAACGGCAGCGCAGATGTTCCGAAGAAGCCGTCGGTGCCGAGCCGCTATCAACAGTTCATGACCTCTGAGGACGAGGCTCAATCTCAGTCCAGCTCAGTCCACAGCAGTGAGGACGAGGAGGACGAGGAAGAAGAAGAAGAAGAAGAGAAGACCACAGTGAAGGGCATGACCTCTATTAAGAGTGTCTCACCTGTCCCTCCTCAATTCAAGAGTGAAACTCCAGTCAGTCCTGCTCCTGCCAAAGAAACTAGCCAGGTAATTTCTGTAAAAAAATAGCAACAGGTAGGCATTTGATGAACAGCCATAAATGATTAATACAAGGCTTTCTTGCCAACGCTGGCCGGGTTCACACAAAGACACACAACCTGACATGCTGCTATCCAGAGTGATGGAAAGTCTGGAGCACATTTCTACACTATGTGTGAACGTTGTTGTCCATCTCTTCTCACCTGTGTTGGTGTTTGGTTTCTAGGAGAACTACTGTGAGATGCGGATCAGCCTGAACCAGAAGCCTAACAGGCAGCAAAGGCTTCCAGGCAGTGTGGGACTCGACAGGAGCTCGTGTCACCACCATCCAGCCAGGTAGCAACAGAGATATTTGAAAGAAAAGCCTTCAAACAAACACATTGTATTGTAAGTGTAGAGCTTTATTCACAGGCAGTATTACCAGTACTGGTCTGCCAAACTGGCAACCAACATTCCCAGTGATACAAAGTCTTTATCTGACTGATAATGGTAAACACAGATAGGATATATATAATGTTGGCTCTGTTATACTCGATATCCCTGCTNAAGCAATTTTCTCCTTACAAACCAAACACACTTTGATTATCTTTATTTGTTTCAAGATGAAGGTATAAAACCATCAGTTCATTACATTTTTGTTTCGTATAGAAGAAACCCATACATTTTTTTTTAAGAAAATATAAAACACTATACAACAATTCTTTCTTTTCACTATATCTGCAAAGCGTCTTTGAGCACCTGTAAAAGCGCTAACAAAATAAATATATTATTATTATTAACAACAACATATTCAGCTCCAGAAGTTGGACAGCATGTCAGACATCAGGCCAGCGTACCAACCACAAATACCATTCTTTGAAGCCTCTAGTGTTTGTGGTGTTTTTATGATGCTGTCCAGGTTTAACACATGGTTACACTTTCCACTCTGCTGCGCATGAAGTTAAAAGCATTCCTGTTGCACTTTCAGCATGCATGTATTGAACTGTTTGTTAGCCTTTCAGACTGTCTGCGCTGTACTTGTATGCATCCTCCTAAGTATGCATGCTGCTCATGTGTGTGTGTTTTTCTTCCAGTTAGTTTGCTCTTGTTGTACTTGTTCCTATATGTGCAAGTATGGGCTGAAATCCAATCTAAATGTCAACAAGTGGTTGATCTTGAATTGAGAAAATCAATAACTTGAAGTGTGTGAAATGATGCTTTTTGAAAACATCAATTGTGTTGTTTTAAATTAGATTTTAAATGATGAATTGACTTAGAAATCAAGAAACTTTTCATAGGCTTGTCAACCCTGTGTTGCTTCAGTATTTGACCTTGAGGTAGACCTCATTGTTTTTGTTCTGTCTGTCAATGTCAGAAGTATTGATCGTATGATTGTTCTCTTTTCAAGGAGGATCAGAGTCTGCAATGCCAGATGTGAGTAGTATTATCAGTGCATGAATGGAAGTTTTGTCTCTTTTGATTTGTTTTCTGTTATAGCAGAACAATATCCTTAAACCCACAGTTATTTCAAATTCTAGACCTATTATTTATAATCTCATGTGCACCACTTTACTTCTGGTTCACTTTTCTTCTCAAGCGTTTAAGTCTGCCAATAATCATCTTGGATTGCAGGAAGCTTGAATACTCAAATGTCTGAGAACAAAATATGTTGTGAAGCCTTTTCAAGCTGAACTGATCCCATATATTTGACAATAATGCAAAGTCAGTTAGGAGGTCAGATCGTATACATTAGTAAAAATGACTACTACAGTTTAACAATACTCTGCTACACGTAATCATCTAAAGAACCATACATTTAACAAAAAGCAAAAGTCTCCAACTTACAGAATTACTTGAGATCTAAATATATCATATGACTGGATTTAATTACTTTGTATACTGTGTGGTACCCTAACCCTTAAAATGTCATTCTAATATATTATTTGATTTTAGATTTTGAAATAACAGTATAAATCTAAAACCAAAGCTTTCAGAAAATGTAGTGAAGATACAATTACAATATGTTATTGACAAAATGTAGTGAAGTAGAAGTAGAAGCTTTAATAAAATGGAGATAAGTAAAGTTCAAGTATCTCAAAATGTTTCTAATGGGCAGTACATAAGTAAATACATTTCACCACTGGATGCAGTTATATTAAAACAACAGGCATATGTTCTTTGCTTTAAAGCCATAATCAGGTTATAGTTAGAGGTTTTAGGAAACATCTAGTATACACCAGGCTTGTATCCGTGGTCAGTTGCATAGATACGTTTGATGACGTCACAAGCCTCAATGATTGATGCCCTATTGATAATACAAGCAAGTGCATTTATACTGCATGTTTATTTTCTGTGTCTGCAGATTCTTGTTCCCCCAATCGTTCCTTCCAGCCGCTGGTCCTGGGACCCCGAAGAGGAGCGCAAAAGACAGGAGAAATGGCAGAAGGAGCAGGAGCGCCTCCTACAGGTACACAAAGACAGACTCATATAGAACGACATTATTTTATGTTACAATATGCACTCAGCTGCCACGTAATTAGGGACAACTTGCTCAAAAATGAATGCAGGGCAATAAATGTAATAATAATAATAATCAATTATATTTATATAGCGCTTTTCTTGAACTCAAAGACGCTTTACAGTGTGAGGGAGGGTAACAAACAAACAAGGACAAGCAAAAACAACAAAACAAAACAATAATTTAAAAAAAATGAATATATTAAAACAAAAATAAAATAAACAGGAAAGGCAGTCAAGAGGAAGTTGATTGAGAGGGGGGGGGGGGCTTATGGATAGACAGAGTTGAAGAGATGGGTTTTGAGGCGGGACTGGAACAGGGTGAGGGACTCAGAGTCACGGAGGTCTTGGGGGAGGGAGTTCCAGAGCTTCGGGGCTGCCACAGAGAAGAATGTAATGTGTTATACTGAGAGAGAAACACTTAACATTAGCGTAAAAATCCACAAACAATGAAATAAAAATACTCACGGTGAATATTTGGAATAAAATACAATAAAGGTGGGGTAGGTAAGTTTGAGAAACCGGCTCGAGATACAGTTTTTGTTATATTCCATGGAATGATCTTAACATCCCGACAGCAATGAATATCTGAAGTGCTTTGACAAAAAATCCATAAAAAAATGTCATCTGTGGAAGCCGTAGTACTGTAAAAAGCACGACCAATCATTTTAGCCGGCCCGACTAAAGTAACTGGATGGCCTACCTGCCTGTCAGCCTTCCATCTGTGCACAAACTTATCTCGTGCTCTCATTGGTCATGTGTCGCGTTTGTGTGTGTTGGAGGAGGGGCTCTGTAAGGAAGTGGCAGATTTTTTCCGGTTGTGTATTTTCAAATTCTAGCGCACTCGAGCTGGTTTCTCCAAAATTACTTACCCTACCTTTAAAGCCAAAATAACTAAACAATCAATTTTTTTGTTTTATTTTATGTATACCCGTGTAAGACACATGTTCATTTCTTTGCGTTTTGCAATAATCTTTTTCTGATTACAAGGATAGCACTATATCGAGTCTGTGGGACTGCAATTTAGCAGCACCAAAAACGACACTCACTTAAATGACACTGAAGTTGATCAAACCCTTTATCCGACAAAAAGAGACGAGACGCAGAGCTTGAAATGCTAGGAAGTCCTCAGAATCAAAGCTGACGGCTCCTAATAGGCACAACACAGAAAACCCTACGGGGCTTTGGCAGCTGAAAGTAAAGCATCTGTCGAGTATCCAATTTATATGTAGTAGAATACTTTCAAAACATTTTGGGAGGGTCTATTTCTGGATGGAGATCAAAGTTGTCCAAACAGAGCGCTGTAGCCGGGAAAGCTTGTTACTCCTTCGATCTAAATCCCTGTTGAATACACGGCCTGATTTCATGAAGCCAGGGACACTTCCTGCCCTGGGCAAACTTCACTAGGTTTATAACCTGTTAGTGTGGTTACATAACATGTAGTTGAGCTTGGAGTACTTTGAATATAATACAGCTACAGTATTGTATGCGACTATTCATGTATATTCAATTTGGATGACCTTTGACCTCCCTTCCTGCTCTTCCTATCCAGGAGAAATATAAGCGCGACCAGGAGAAGATGCATGAGGAGTGGATGAAGGCTCAGCAGGAGGTGGCCGACAGCGTAGCAGAAGAAGATGTAAGGAAAACATTTTATCGTGTATAAATTATGGCCTAACATCAACAAACCGCAGGGGGGTTTCTAAAGCAATTATTTTTGGCTTGTAAAATCCCTGTTGACTTCACATCAAAGAGGCCCTATTATGCATTGGGGTTTTGCCTTTCCTGTATAATCTTATATAGGTTTGTGTGCATTAAAGGCTAAACAAAAGTTCACACCAGACGCCTCGATTGGTCTCCTTTGTTTATCTCAGAAAGGTATAGCCAAAAAGTGGAGCCACAATGAACAAAACCTGAAAATGTCCTTTTTGTCAAGACAAGTCAATAAATAGCAGAACACTGTAGTCATGTGGATTCAACTTACAACATATCTGGCTACACTTCCCAAAATGGTAAAAAGATTTCCCGCTGATAGTTTTGCAACAAAAATCCCCCTAAATTCGAATTTCCAAACAGTCTGGTTTGTCACCTCAAGGGACGACATGAGTTCATCCTGGAGGCTAAATGACTTCATGCCTTCATGTGCTTCCTCTTTCCGTCCTTCCTTCTCCCTAGGAGCCAGAGAGCCCGGTGGTGGACAGACACAGCCTCAGCCCACACTCACCCGTCTCCCCCTTCAACCCGCCAGCCTTTCTTTCATGGGAGGAGGAGGAGAGAAAGAGGAAAGCGGAACAGGAGCGCCAAAGGCTGGAGGAAGAGCAGGAACGCCAAAGGCTGGAGGAAGAGCAGGAACGCCAAAGGCTGGAGGAAGAGCGGGAACGCCAAAGACAGGCGGAGGAGAGGAGGAAGAGGGAGGAGGAGGAGGAGGAGGAGCGTGAGCTGCTGCGTCTTCAGGAGGAGAGAAAGCAGAAAGAAAGACAGGAGGAAGAGGAGAGAAAGATGAGGGAGGAGGAAGAGCTGAGATGGCAGAAGAGGAGAGAGGAGGAGAGGCGGCAGGAAGTTGCAGAGCATCAGCGCAGAGAGCGGGAGAGAGCCCAGCAGCAGCAGTGGTCAGTAGAGACACCGCTCCTCCTGGAAACACTAACACTCGTCTGTCCATCATGTTGATAATAACACATTTCAGTAGAAAACATAACCTGCTGTCTGTCTGCGCATTAACATAAGTGCAACTAATGTGTTTGCATGTGCTTTGTGAGTAACCCTCGTCTCACCCCTCCCTCACACTACCAAAGGGCCGGTGACTCCCATGGCTTTGCCAATGTCCAGCCGTCTCTGTCCTTTACAGACAGGTCAGTACTGTACAGGACGGGCTGTGTTTGCCTTTGTCAAAGTGCATCTGCAGTCATAACATAATGCTACTTTCTGTGTTCAGCTATTTGTGCTCATATTACCTGCTTGCTTCATACTATGTTATAATAAAAACAACTATCTCTTACAATGTATTATAGCATGTCTGAATAATGACTTTAACAGGTTGTGTTGGCAACGCTTTAATTTAGGTCCTAGTATTTATGAGCACTACAGTATATGATACTTTAATAAATGGTAGTTTGGAGCAGATATAAGTGTTTGTTAATGTATTTGTCACTAACCAAAACCCCTTCTGTGGACACTGGAGGCTGCTGTATAACGATCTGGTAAAACACAGTTGTAATTTATACATAAAAATATGTCTTCATACCATAGGATAGAGTTATCTTGTCTTATCTATATTATACATACAATTCTCTAAATCTGCTTACAACTACATTATAACCCAGTGGCGAACCGTGTCTATCACAACTGGACCTTCTGTAGAAAGCCCCCC